CTATCCTCTCTACGATGTCCGTTATCCTCATCTGTCGGCGAATGTCTTCATTTCTAATGTGGTCGGGAGGACTGATACCCATCATGGCTCTTTCCATAGCTCTTTGGCTCACTCGCAACCTGTTCACACTTCGTGCCGTCATCGTCCTAGTCCCCAAACCATAGGTCATGATAGGCAAGACGCATTTGTTGTAAACGTCTCTTTTTAGGCTATTTGGGATTTTGCTTTTGAATATAAAGTTAAGTTTACCAAAAAAGTTTGATTTTCCTTGCCGAGTTTTATGGCATATATACTCTTTAACGTTCTCAATCCTTTGTCCATTCACAATAAGTTGCTCTTCATTTTCATTTAGGGTTTTAGTTTTAGACAAATTCATTTTTAAACCTACTTGCGCAGATGTGTGGTGAAGTAGTTCGAGCACTGTTTGAAGTTCTTCCAACGATGAGGCCAGGACAACGACATCATCAGCGAAGCGCAAGTGGTTAAGCATCCCACCATCTACCCTAATACCCTTCTCGTCCCAGTTCAGCTTCATAAATACGTCCTCCAGGGCCAGTGTAAAAAGTTTGGGGGAAATAGTATCTCCCTGTCGGACTCCTCTTTTTTTTGCCCCTACTACACCCGTATTTGCTAATCGAATTTCTAATCAGTCCCTTCCGGAGTCCTGTCTGCGTGTTTTTTTTATATTTCTCGACAATGAATGACAACGAACAAGAAATAGTTATGAACTCCTTGCTAATAAAGGAAGAAGAAATCACGAGAAAGAATCGAAAATTATGGGTTCACAATAATTGCAAAAATTTTACCTTTAAAAGGGGAGTTTCACACATTGTTACCATATTTAATTGAGGACGAAGTAAAAATTTTTCAATATTTCAAAACGAGCCATAAAAAAATTGCAAACTTTCTTAGTATATTGAATTTCTAATCTCCTCTTCGGCTAGTTCGATTCAGCTACCCGCGTAGAGTGGAAGAAATTGCGTATGACGTCAGCAGCACTAGTCGCATTGACAGAAAATAATTCTGACCCAAGAATGCTGGCCGCATTTTCGTCGATGCGGCGCGTGCGGCTCTGGTCAGTCTGCGCGTACCTTAAGTCCAACCTACAGCAATTTCAAATAAAAAATAATGGCATTTAAGATAATTACAAAAAACCTAATTTTAAAAACTTCAAAATTATGCATTTCTATACCCATGTTTATAGAAACTTTTTTCCATATTTTTTGATGAGGAATCAATGAGTACTAATTTAAAACTTTCGCAAGTTAATGATATATATTTTTTTAAAGGTTGCTAATAGACTTGGATCAAGGCAAATTATTAAAATTGCGTTTATCTCATCAAGGAGGCCCAAATGACAAAATATCAAGAGACAACTTTTAATCGGCATTAAACTGCTGACACTATTTCACTAACAAGAGAAAAAAAATGTGGCGTACATGTTTTTTTTTTCGAAAAATATTCCAGTGATAACCCATATGCACGTCCCTGGTGAATCTGTCGACACTTTTTAGCTTTAAAATATGTCGCATTTATAGTAACTTTTACCCTCAAAATTTTATTCGAATCTATAAAATCACTTGGAAGAAAATTATAATAATTAGAAGGAAATTTAAGACTTTAACACCCTGTAGCTACGAAACAAAGCAGAATCGGATCTATGTTGAACCTATGAAAAATAAATCTTATTTTTACGTGAGGAATCTCCCCACGAGAGATGACACATGTCTTTTGAAACACCCTGTATACATATAGGGTGGCGCACCTCATTCGCCTCGGTAGATTACGAAAACGGAAAGATGTAGAAACAAAATATTTTATTGGTATATGTAGGGAGGCAATGTGCACAATTTAAAATTATTTTAAAAAATACAAGGTGTTTCAGAACTAAGACCCATACCAAAGTTATATTTTTTCTTATGAAACACCCAGTATTTTATTTCATTTTTGGATTCTTGGGCATAAAAATAAGACATTTATTAGGTATAAGGGTTAGATATGTTTAAAATATTTAAACTTTAATCTTAATAACGTTTCAGGATTAGGTAATTCTTGTGCTGACTTTAAAGGTAGAGAAATAAATTTACTGCAAAATGTTACTGCTTCCTTAAATCTATACAGGGGTACCAAAAAAATTGATGATCTATTTTAAATATTTATTTTACATAAAAACTTCGTTATTTCAAATGCAACCTACTCTATTTTTTAAAATAGATCGAAGCAGATTCAAATGCTCTTTCAAACTACATATATTAGGGTTTCCTATATCTATCTGGCTCAGATTTTGAATAGAAAGCGATTTTTCAATAAAATGGCAATGAAGACGGCTGGTGTCGCCATGGCAATTTTTAGTGATAGTTTTAGTTTTTAGTTTATAGCTTTTTATGAAGCTTACTGTCAACTATCATTTGTGATACTAACATAAAATTCCATATTTTCAACCAACAATTGCCAACTAGACTATTAGCGTATAATAGATTTTATGCACCTCCATAACTTGATGTGACAAGAAATATGTTTTGGAAGCCAGCTTTGGAAAAATATTTTTGTACTCAAAAAGTACGCGAAATGGCGTTTTTTACAAATGACAAAAAATTTAGTAAATACTAGAAGGACCATTATACGAAAAAAAATTGGTCATTGATGGGAATGGAAAATATTTACAGTAATACTTGGATAGATAGATAATTCTTTATTAGTTCCTATAAAATATTACAATATACAAAATGCAGGCGTGATGGTAGTTTCGCCCTTCCCGTAGTTTTTCGTGATTTTTGTGAGTGTCAAATATTAAAGCACTTAGCTAAACATAGGCACCCCAAATATCATTCAAATAGGAATAATGGTCCTTAAAATATCTTAAAAAAATGTTTTATTTGTTTAAAGTTTGATGCCCTCTAACGGACAAATGAAGAATTTTTATACAGAGGTAAATTGTGTCCAATGAACTTATTTTGGTCAAATACCGTAGTAGTTCTGTCAATGGAATTATTCAATGGAAAATATGTCTAGGAAATATTGGGACACCCTGTATATGGAAGTTTCCAAACAAATGTTTTGTAAGGAACATAATATTCAGGATGTATAAATCTTCTATACCGGGTGCGCCTCAAAAGTCGCTCACCCCCGATAACTTTTTTATTTTTTCATATAAACAAACGGTACAAAAATTTGGTATGTTAAAATGTGACATAAATTAGGATTGATTGACATATTCAATTGTCTTTGGATACTTCCTGCTTCACAGGAAATTACTACAACTTTTGAATTTTCAATGGCACCCTCATTCAAATTTTTAAGTTATGTGTATTTTTTTACTTTATTTGATAGAAAATGACACTCTGAATAGAATGACATATCATATGTCAAGTTTTAACATTTTCGCATATGGTTTATCTGAAATTGTAACATGGGGTTCATAACGAAAATTTGACTCAAAATGCCAAGTGTGTGGTACCAAATTATTCGCAAAAAAATGTTTTTTCCAAATATTCTAATGATCCACACTTGTTCCATTTGAAAAAATTGAGATATGATTAAAAATACGATTTGGGCACGTTTTAACCAGCCAGGACAAGAGAAGAACAACATTAGACAATCAAATCTATTTTTCCAAGGCTCATTGATTAAAAATTAGTGTTTTTTTACACAGCCATGGCACTCTAGATTGAAATTTAAAATACGATTTTTTTTAAGCAAAAATGTCAAAAGTTGACATATGATATGTCATTCTATTCAGACTCCAAAAAAATGATATATGGGTATTTCGCCACTGTTCTGCAATTGTTGCTACAAGTTCTATTCAGAGTGTGATTTTCTATTGAATAAAGTAAAAATATACTGAAGGTGCCATTTAAAAATCAAAAGTTGTAGTCATTTCCAGTGAAACAGGAAGTGACCAAAAACAATTGACTACATCAATCAATCCTAATTTATGTCATATACTAACATATCAAATCTCGTTTTTAGACGCATCTGGTAGATATAGAAGATATATTTCTAATTTATTTTTTATAATAAAATATTCCCTGACATATAACTGCTGTTTTGTAAAATGTTCAGCTTTCAAAAATAATGAACTGAAAATAAAAAGTTATGTTTGTTTGCCGTTACAAACCTGTGTTACTACACCACACACAAAGAAGTGTCTACAATACAAAACTTGTGTTAAAAACTAACTTAAGATTCATATAAATATAGCCTCTGCAATGAATAATTAAACTACCTAAAGATATGAAAAAATGTAAACTTTAATGTTTCTGCTAATCCATCATAAAAATATAATTAAGGAGGTAAGCTATATTATATTGAGAGATGTTTCCTTTCCACTGTATGTAAAGGAAATATCTCAAAAAGGATTATTACGTTATCTTAAAGTGAGTAAGTTATGTGACTAGAATTCTTGAATATTGAAAACTACAAAAAAATAACACCTACTAGGTATACAATACAAACTAATTTGCTTTCCATTTCACCATTGTGTATTAAACATTTGGTGCATCACACGATATATACAATATGATCAAAAAGTTATATATTCAAGTGTGTTATGACAGATAAACAATTCATGGTAAATTACACTAGAATTTTACAAACTCCAGAAATCAAAGCCTGCTTGTTGTTACAATTATTTCTGTTAACAATGTTACAATTTCTCTTAACATAAACATAATTTTTAATATCATTAGCAATTATGATTTAATTAATTTCATAGCACAAAATACATACCCTACCTATCTGCTTCGATAAAAATCTGCTCAAAATTCTAATTTGGTATACAAATAAAACTTAGTATATAGAAATTATATAATTTTAGATACCAAAATAAAACACAAAATAGTAGATATTGCAAATGCTTCCAATCTAAATTAGAAAATATTGATACACAAGAACAAAACAACATTACAAAACAAATATTACACGAAAGATGAACGAATTTTCAATGTCACAAAAAATAACAAAATAGAAGATGAAACTAAAATCAAGTGATCTAAACCTACCTTGAGTACTTGTCCTTTCCTGAAACTTAACTCATCATCAGCTGTTGCATTAAATTCATGTTTGGCCACAGCCTCCATTTTCAGTGGTTTGATAATTTTATTGGTTTTCCTTCGAAAAGTCTCTTTGAAATCAAATATAAAAACTTATATGGCTTGGGGGAAAATGATTCACTTCTCTGTTCACTGCCCAAACGTCAAAATAAGGAGAAAAACAAAAGACGATTTCTTAATGCATAGGAAGAAATTCTTTTCACCACACGTAACGTTTAGTTGAATATATCGCGTAATTATTTACGACGACATTTGTACACAAATATATTTTCAATTTTTCACAACACTTGGGATATTTAAAATTAATTACTAGCTTATCAAATGTAATTCAACACTACAATGAAAATATTGGTTCGCCTTCGACTTCGGATTTTCCGAAGATTAACAATCAATGTTGCCAACATAACGAGAACCTAAACAAAAAATTCCAGGAGATAGAAAGATTCAAATTTTATTATTTTACTGCACTGTATGACGTCACTAAGAGACCACTTCAGTGCTGCAGGCTAGAAGGCCTCAGGCTTCAGGTGGCTTCAGACTTCTAGCTAGGTCTAGGCAGAGGTCTAGCTATAGGTCGGTCTTTATGTTAAGTCAGTCGCCGATAAGTATATAATAAATGTACGTAGAATCTATGTAATTTGAATTCTGCTACTAGCAAAGTAATAAATCGTTCTCTCTAAATCATTGGTAATTAGAATTTTGTTTTTTAATATGACCTAATAAATCGGAAATGTCATCGATATTCATTTCAAAGCCAACTGGACGCAGTTTTTCAATGATACGATATTTTTTAGTTTATTTGGACTTCTATTATAAAATCGAATAAATCCTAGACTCAAGACACAAGCTCATTCCTAATATAGTGAATTTCTTAGGGATTTTTGGAAGGAGCTGTTGGCGACACTGCAGATAAAAAAAATTGTCATAATTGTCATTATTGTCAATTGTAATGTCAATAAAAAAACTTTCTTTTTGACATTTAAGGGTCTCCCTGTGGCATCAAATATCGTGAGTGTAATTTTAAATCTTTAAAAATATTAATAATCTTAAGTTATTTAGTATATTTTATCAGTGAAATTCTGCTCGTATTTTAAGTTAAATATGAGTTATATCATTTCAACCTATATTTTACTTTCTACAGTTTATCTCTTAAAAATAAAATGGTTTGTATGGTATGGTAAGAAATCATTAAAACACATTCTTTTTTAGGTAATTCGTTACACAAAAATTACGAAACAATGTCGGGAGGTTTAGACGTTCTTAGTTTAAAAGGTAAGTCCCTCTAAAACATAAGAAACACTTCAAAAACAATATGTATTATCTTTAGTTTTTAATAGTCATCTTTAGTTTCACACATTATTTTTGTGTAAACTAAATTCTTTCGTCGTAATATACACAGTGTATTCTTTAATATCACAGTAGTATAAAGTTTTAATCTTAGATCTAGAGCCCTAATTGATTCCAGATAATCTAACAGTCCCTAGCAAAGGGAATTTAGGCTCTAATAAAAATTTACTTTTATCGTTGATTTTCTTCACAATAGTTACTTAATATATATTTTTTAGAGGAGGATGTTACCAAGATGTTGTCAGCAATGACCCATTTAGGCAGTACAAATGTAAACTTCCAAATGGAACAATACATCTACAAACGAAGAGCAGATAGTGTTCACATCATTAATTTGAGAAAAACTTGGGAAAAATTACTTTTAGCTGCCAGAGCTATTGTGGCCATTGAACACCCAGCAGAAGTAAGTTAAAGCTTTCATGAATCTCCCTCACAAATATTCTTATTGGTACTTTACAAAATCACTAGCAACAATAGATAGGTCTGAAAATAATACTATATTGTATTTTTGTTTTTGTTGTTTTTATTTATTTAAAACTCTAATTTTTCTGAAATTTGTATTCATACCTATTTCATGAATTAATAATTCAGTGTAATATCATATTTTACTGAGAATTTACTAATTTACTATTGTCATATGCATAATGTTATATCTGTTTATATACTTTGTCAAAATATAGTCTGCGCAATGAGTCAGCAAAGATTTTGACAGACGAAATTCAAAAAATGATAGGTAATACACTTACCTGTGAATATCAATGACAGATAACTGCCACTACCAAGTATCTTCTTAAATTAAATAAATAAAAACTGTGATATATGAATTTAGTTAAGTTTTTTGTCATAAGATGAAATATATTTTTTTGGGATATAATTGTTTCTTATTAAAGGATCATATAATAGGTATGTATTTAATGTTTTTTTTTTAATTTTTAAGGTATTCGTAATCTCTTCAAGACCTTATGGCCAAAGAGCAGTTCTAAAATTTGCAGCACATACTGGAGCTACCCCAATTGCTGGAAGATTTACACCTGGTAAATAATGTTTAATTCTTGATATACAGTATGTCCCCAGATTGTCTTTACAAGAGGAAAAAAAAGAACTCTTTAATATTGACATTATGAGAAAAATGCATTTTATAGAATACATTTTCCTTGTTCTAAAATGGTTAATACTTTTTTAAATTTTCATACCTTTTTAGAGAAAATAAAAAAAAACATAAAAATATAGTTGTTTAAAAAATCAAAAGGATTAAAAATCAAAAAGTATTTCTATAGTAATGTAACTTCGTATTCATGTCATTTATAGAATTTTAATTAATGTCATATTTTTTGCTGTTTAAAAATATTTGGTTTGGTTTGGTTGTGATTGTGTTAATTCATTGGTTAGTTGGTTATTTGGTGGGGTGGGTTGGTTTTTACTAATTTATATTTGTTTTTTATATTTTTTTTATCAGTGTTGAGGTTAGTTGCGTTGGTTAAGTTGGTTATTTGGTGGGGTGGATAGCGTTGGTTAGTCCGTATAAAATTCCTATATTTCATAAAGCCGTCAAGTGCGTCAGATCAACGAGCTCTTGCAAAATGCTTATAGCTAGGCATTGGTTTTTACTAATTTATATTTGTTTTTTATATTTTTTTTATTAGTGTTGAGGTTAGTTGCGTTGGTTAAGTTGGTTATTTGGTGGGGTGGATAGCGTTGGTTAGTCCTTATAAAATTCCTATATTTCATAAAGCCGTCAAGTGCGTCAGATCAACAAGCTCTTGCAAAATGCTTATAGCTAGGCATTACTTTCCGCCGACATGAACGACGTCACAATACCTATTAACGGCATTTTAGTAAGCTACCGTTTAACGGCAGTTTAAGTACAGCCTATAATGTATAATATAATAAAAAATATCAAAAATTACCTTACTTATAAAATGTTGCCTTAAAATAACCAACTTATAAAAAATAAACCTGTCGAGTGACATTTTCAACATGTTTAAAAACACAAATATGCTTAGAATTCGTTGCTACTACGTTAATAAACAGCGGATTTTTTTCGCAAAATTCACATTATGCAATTCGCGTGTATATGAACCTACCTTTAATAATTAAAATTAATAAGAACCGTCTATCAAAGAATGAAATCCAAGTTATATTATAACCTAACCTAACCTAACCATAGTTCTAATATTACCACACCTTTTGATTTGGAAATTTTGAACAGTATAAATGGGATTAACCATTTTAAAACAAGCAAAATTTTTATGAGCACAATGCAATTTTCTCATGATGTTAATAATAAAAAAGTTTTTTCTTTTGTAAGAATTTACTTATGATGATACCCTAAGGAACCTATGATTGATAGTGATTAAATTTCTAATCTGAAATAACATGAACATTTATAAGTTGACATTTTTTGAATAATATACTTACATTTATTTTTTATTTTTATAGGTGCCTTTACTAATCAGATTCAAGCAGCTTTTCGCGAACCACGATTGCTGATAGTTACTGATCCAGCACTTGATCATCAACCTATAACTGAAGCGTCATACGTCAATATTCCTGTAATTGCGTTAACGAATACGGATTCTCCCCTTAGATTTGTCGATATTGCTATTCCTTGCAACAACAAAGCCCCACACAGTATTGGATTAATTTGGTGGCTCTTGGCTAGAGAGGTATCTAATTTTAGTATTTATTTTAAGATAGTTTATATCTCATATTAAATTATTATTATTATTATTAGCAAAAGTCAATAGTAGGTGGGTAAAACCTGATGAGACTACTACAAATTTATCAGTCAGGGTGCAATGATTTAGATCGTGATTTAAATCAACAGATTTTTTTTATTTTAATAATGAATTTAAATTAAAAAATTAACTTGTTCAACAAAACTTATGAAAAATAACAACCCAAGTCCAATATTTTAATATCTATTCAAATATTGGACTGACTTTTGAAGTTATTTCGTGTGAATCCATTATACTTCTAAATGACAGAGATTTATTTTGAAATTGTGAAGTGCCAGAAATCCGGTATTTGAATACATTTCATTTACAAACTCTAGTGCAGAACTAGTTTCTTCTGATGTCAGGTTATATTTTTATTCCCGAGGACTAATCAATGTCAAAAGTTAAGCTGGAGTCAAGGCTGTTTTATACTACCGTTCTGCAATAAGCACTTTGCATTTTGAAGATTAGATGGTACTAATTTTATTCTCGGCTTAAGACAGTCATGACTATTTCCAAAAACAATCCCTTTGATCTTTGATCTATTTGCGGAAATAGGGGCATTGGCAAAGTTTACAGAATAAAATATATCGTTGACCGATGTGGAGACACGACAATCCGCCGTAGAACAGAGTTACAAAGATTTAGCCATTTAGGATAGGACTTTAAATAAAAAGTTGATTAAAATTCATCCAAGCCAAAAAAACTAACCTATGGAATTTATGGGTTAAAATGAACTTAATAACGGAAAAAATATATCCGGAAGGCAGGGTTTTTAGCTCAATTTTAAAAGGTGTCTGAACATTCAAAGTTTTCCATTTAAATAATACGTAAAAAAATATTTTTCCATTAAAAGTAAACTTTGAAACGGTTTACGATAAAAAATTTGGTAATTATTGGGAAAACTGGGAATCGTCCGATTTTCACCAAAATTGGTATACACACTATTTTGAGGTCGTAGATTACGAATCTGGACTTTTTTCTTGGCGGTCTCTTACCGTTTTTCAGAAAAACGGAAAATTATTTCAACGTTGAATTTTTCTTTATTACGGCCCAATAAAGTAATAATTTCACTATATTTTCATTATATTATAGTTTCTCTAAAAGCCACACTTGATTGGGGATAGAAAAATGTCCAAAATTTTACTGAAAAACACTTTTCTTAGGGCTCGAACTTACTGACGACCAGGTCGCAACGACCTGGCCGTCGGCGCCGGCTGGCCGGATGTATTGCGTTTTTAGCTGCGGCCAGATGAACGACCAGTTTCAACAGAGTTGTCAAATCTAACGATTTTTTACGTTTTACCAATTAGAAAATATTGTTTCAGAAATGTTATAATATCCGAGTTAACTAAAAAGCGAAGTTGCTATTCACAACAAACAAAAAGCATTGTGTACGCGCGACCGACAAAAAGGGAGATATTCTGTTTCTTTTTTCTACTGATATGGCGCCCTCATCGACTTTAGAAATAATTAGGGCCATCGTAAAAAAAGATCGTCAGACACTGGCTCTAAATATAAGCAGGTAGAAAGTTTAGCTTCCAGTTATTTCAATATTTACAATATAACGAAGAATCTACAACAGTAATTACTTCTATTTTTATGATTGTTTAAGTTACTTTCTTAATTTTTTTTCCAAAATAATGTACCTAGTAGAAATATAGTCTAATGAACCCTGTTTGAAAAACGTTAAATTAAATATCATATTTAAAATACAGTTGTCCTCCTTGTACATGACTACAATACAACTTAAAAAACTAATTTAATAAAAAAAAACAAGTGGTTGTAGAAAAACTTTAAATATTATTTTTTTTATTTTTTAATCATCGAAACTCAAAGGTATAATAACAGGTATCATACCAACCATAAATAGAGTAGGCATGTCATATAAAAATGTTTTGAGTTTTTACTAGAATCGACCCTTGATAAAAAAAAGGGATTAGATTTAAGTTTACCTTTGATCCAGTCTGTATACTATTTCTTTGGATTTTCTGCACGTGTGCAAAAACTACACTAAAACACTATATCTTATAGAAAGTAAAATATTGTGCTTTGAATTTGAGGGATTTCATCTGAAAAATTAGTAATTTGGAAGAAAACCGGCAACAAGCGGCAGAAAATAATAATATTTCCGTGCAGTCTTCTGGTCGCAACGACCAACGGACGGCCAGGACGTTAGTGTGCGCTATATCATTTGATTCAATGGTTTTAGAGACAGCTGCGGTCTGGCCGGTGCGACCTGGTCGTCAGTGTGTTCGAGCCCTTAACAAAATAACAAAGAAAATTGAGACCAGAAGGAAGTTTGACATTTGATAATCCTTCTTTCTCTCTCCTATGTAATAAAAGACAAATATATTCTAGACCTAATCTAGAAATTTGGAAATTTACAACTTGCCATATCTTCTATTTTTTCGGGTGATTAGGGATTTTAAATAAATTACCTATTATGAGATCGACAATAATTAAATATACCTACCTATATCCACAAAGTTACGCGGAAGAGTTTTAATTGCATTGGTTTCAACTTCTATGCGGAGGGGGTTAATCTTTTTTTTTTTGTTATATTATATTTATAACCACGAAGTTGCATGAAAGAGTTTTGATTGCATTGGTTTTAACTTCTTTGCGGAGGGGGTTAATCTTTTTTTCATATAATATAACAACAAAAGATTAACACCCTCCGCATGGAAGTTGTAACCAATGCAATCAAAACACTTTCGTGCAACTTCGTGGTTATAAATAGTCAGATCTCGTTGGTAAAATAGCAATTATGGGAAGGAGCCGTTCTTCTGGCGACCGCCTTTCGTAATCCCAGAATGAGCGAAAAAACACGCTAAATTTAGGTTTAGCATTGGCAACGTTGCTTTAAATGCCAGAAACATATATAACCCAACATTTTCAGATCGGTTACAAATTTATTTTAGCAAATTTTCCTCTATTATGCATAGATTTGGTTAAAAAAGTAACAGAAAATAGCAATAACATCATTGTTTATTGAATACCTAACAAAATATGTGCTAGAAAACCTTAAAAAATATAAGAAATTAAGAAATATTCGATGTTTAAATAATTTTCCGTTTTTCTGAAAAACGGTAAGAGACCGCCAAGAAAAAAGTTCAGATTCGTAATCTACAACCTCAAAATAGGGTGTATACCAATTTTGGTGAAAATCTGACGATTTCCAGTTTTCCCAATAATTACCAAAAATTTTACATCGCGGATTCTTGTAGAGCATAAAATTTACTAAAAAATCTAGAGAGAATCTGAGAGTAATTTTTTTCAATTCAATAATTCGTATTTTTGAAAGCTTTGAAAAGTGAAAAAAATCAAAATATGCAGCTTTGGTGTTTATTGATTAAAAATTTTCATATTTAGCAAAAAAAACTAGATTGCTCTCAGATAATTACTCTCAGATAGATTTTTTAGGAAACTTCATGCTCTACAAGAATCCGCGATGTAAATTTTTTTATCGTAAACCGTTTTAATTATGGTACTGAATTAATGGAAAAAAAATCTTTTTTTACGTGTTATTTAAATGGAAAACTTGGAATGTTCACCGACACCTTTTAAAATTGCACATTTACATTCAATTCACAAAATTATAAATTTAAATTAAGATCACAATCACATACCAGTGAACACAACAGATTGTTAGTTATATTACTATTTTATGATGATTATGATAACCGTTCCAGTTATATTGATTTGACTGTGATGCACTAATTTTTCCAACTGAATAGAACAGTTTGAGATTTAACTTTGTATTAATATGTTTTTAATTTACTTAATATATTGCATTAAACTTCTAGGTACTTCGTCTCAGGGGTCTTATTCCGAGGGAAACAAAATGGGATGTCGTAGTTGACCTGTTCTTCTATAGAGAACCTGAAGAGGCAGAAAAGGAAGAACAAGCGGCTAAAGAACAAGTTGCTGCTATTAAACCTGTAGAAGTTAGTGTAAGTAATATTTTTATCATATTTTCAATAATAATAATAATCCTGGACTTATGTTCTGGATTTTAAGGTGTAAAGGCGCATTCTCACGACTGGTCTACTTGGCAAGTATTTTTTATCGACATACAGGGTCTGCCGAGAATTCGGTGTAGTTCCTATAATAAATAACTTAGAAATTCTGTATAGATGCCTGAGGCACCATGTATAACCTGTATACCAATTAATTACAAATGTTTGTCAAGTACACGAGTTGTGAGAATGCGCCACAAGCTACAAGATAGTGATGGAGATGTCCTAATTGGTGTAAAAAAACTAGTGGCTACACTTGTCAAATGCGTCATCATTAACAAATTATGATTATTGGGACTTTTGGGAAAAAAAGCAACTATATTTTCATATTTTTTTTTATTTTTCACTTATCAATATTAAACAGAAGCATTATACCATCAGATCATACGATCGAAAAAAAACGGTCATAAAGACGGCTGGTGGATGCTGATCGATGATTATTTTAGGCAGCTCAAGTCCTGGATGTTATTTAATGGCCCGTACTCAATGGCGCTTACTACTAGCTAGCTATAAGGTTATTCTTATAATGCGTAAAAGTAAATTTTAAATAGTATTGAAGTTTAAAATTTGAGAAAAAAAACTTCATTGGAATAGATTTGTGTCGCGAAACCTTCTATCATTAACTTTCTAACGTCCTTATTTAAACTTTCTATAATTGGTGTTATATATAATTTTTGACAAGTTTCATGTCAATTTTTAGCAAATGACTTCTAGAGATTGACCTCGCCAAAATTATCATCATTGTCAATCCAATTATCATCAATTGTTATCTTTGACGCCGTCTTTTTTTTCGATCATACGGTATATATTATTTGTTAGGTTTTAATAATTCGTGAGAGAATATAAAACGGATAATATACTAATATGTACAGTATATAACTAAAAATATACGTTAAATTTTATATACATATTATTGATGATTAAATTTGGAAACATATAACATTAAATTACGTTTTAAACATATTTATTTTTTACAGAAGTCAAAAACGTGGCTAAAGTCTGCCCAACAAGTTAGGGAAGATTTTGACAGACCACATCTAAAAAATTACAGAAAATACAATTTACGTGGGCATTAAAATGACAGATACAACTGTCACTATCATGTATCCTCTTGTTGGACAGACTATTGCTATTCGCTGGCGGAAAATATCTGGCGAAGTGGTGCTACTCTTTTCATTATATCAAGATGTTATAAAAGTTTTATAACTTGATAGGATTTTAGTTTTTGACTAAGTTATAACTTTTTTTCTTCTTTTAGGTACCACATGAAGCTCCTGACCTAGATTGGAACACCGGCGGTGACCAAGACTGGGCCGAACCTGCTCCAGTGGCTCCAAGCGCAGCTCCGGCAGCCACGCCATTTGCTGCTCCAGCTCCTGCGGCCGATGACTGGGCCTCTGAAGTGGCTAAAGAACAATGGAGTGCTGCTCCACCGGCCCAACAGCCTAACTGGGGAGATGCTGCCAATTGGGTTTAAAAATGTTTATACATTTTTTGTATAAAAATAAAGGTTTTATGAAATGTCGTTGTTTAAATGAAATACAGGCAGTCCTCGTACTTACGGCAGGTTAGGTTCTTCAAAATTGCGCCTTAAGAAGAAACGACGTAAGTCGAATCTTATTTTGTCATAAGATCCTATAGAAAATGGAGAAGTTAGGTACTTTTGTAAGATAAAAATACAATAAAACAAAGAGATGTGCGTTTGAGGTATGAAAAACAGTCTATTGTATAACTATGTAGTTAAACTTATAATAACACAAGAAACAAAAATATAAAAAAAATATTTTTTTTATGAAAAACGAATTAGGGCGAGTATTTTTACAGTCCCGCTCTTTCATTATCTAATCAAAAAAGTATTTTTAACTATCCATAATTGTAAATATAATACGTATACTAATATGGCAACTACAAAAATACCAGAGAGTAGACATATTTAGAAAGTATATATTTATTTTTTTGGTTGGAACTTTTATTGAGGGTGTCGTCAAAGGTCGTAATAGTTGCTAATTAAGTAATGATCAACACTGTCCCGCTTTTTCACTATGAGGATCTGTCAACCCTGCTTGTATGTTGCTAAAATTTTATTGTTTATGTCCAAACTTCTTTTAAAATATGGATCGTTCTTTTCAAAAAACGACGTAACTCGAAATAGTGGGACGTAACTTTGAGGAATAGTGACAAAAATTTGTTCGACGTAACTCGAAACGACGTAACTCGAGGACTGCCTGTAATATGTTTTTTATTAAACGTCACAAAAGTATTAATTTTTGGGACGTGATTGACAATATAAAAGTCATTTTAACACCTAGACAAAAAAGAAAAATTTAATTTTTTTTCTAAGCAAAATGTCAAAAGTTTGACGTGATATGTCATTGTATTCCGAGTGTCATGTTCTATCAAACAAAGTAAAAAAACAGAGGGTGCCACTTAAATATTAAAAGTTGTATTTGGTTGTAGTCATTTCTGGTGAAAGTGACCAAAAGTAATTAAATACATGAAGCAATCCCGATTTATATCATATACCTACATACCAAGTTTTGTTTTTTTTTTATCTGAAAAAGTAAAGAAGTTATAGAGGTGAGTCACTGTTGAGAAACAACCGGTATAGGTATTTTTCAAAAGCTTGTAAAAAGTCACATTAATTTATTGAGAAATAAACAGGCTTCCCTGTCTTAAAAACATTGATCGACAGATCAAAAATGGAAATATTAAGAAATAAATGTAAACCAATAAGTAAAAACTAGACCATTGAGTTCAGCAAAAAAAGTTCTATAGGCATCCGTTCTTGCCTTATTGTCAGACAACTAATATGAGGTATGTATTGTTTATATAATTGCAACATTTTCAAAATTACTCTGTATCTCAGAAACTTGAGGCGGGAATGGCAGTTTTGTTTGTCGCATCTTTGATGACAAACAAAACTGTAATTCCCTCAAAAAAAGTGGTTCAGGTTAAGAAGTATGAGGTATCCCTCATTTGTAACCAGTAGCGCCTAGTGAATTTTAAAGGAAAGTGGATAGGTACCGCTTCCAGAAGAAAAAACTTCTACTATTTTTATACCTGATCATATAGTGTAACATAAAAGTATTATCATGCACTTAATGCACAACGGAAGTGATGACATATCACGTCGGCCATGATTATTCATCTGTCAAAATTTTCCCGTTGGCCGGCCGAAATGATTGCTCTGATCTCTAGTAGATGCAACGTTGCTGGTTCGATTCCAGCCTGGGGCATGGGTGTTTAATGTATGTGTGAGTCTGTGTTTGTCCGATAGAGTTTAAGTTTAAGAAATATTGTGATGAGTAAAAAATTAGAAAGGTAATATGCCAAAATATGGCCATGGCAGCCTAGCCAATGAAAAGAGAAAAAAAGTTTCCCGTTCCCAGAACGACATTCTATCGCTGGCTACACTTGTTGACACTTCAGAGAACTAATAGGCGCATTCAGTACATACACCGGTTAGTCCACCAGTATAGAAAATTATAGTGAATGGGCGCATTCAGTACACACACCGGTGTACAAAATTAAAGAGAATGCCAATGGTAACTCACCGGTAGTGGTCACCGATCACTTGAGAGCCTACCGTATTTTGTTTCCGGTTTATGTACATACCGGTCGGCGCAGTTTGTCATAATTGTCATCTGTCACATTTTTTGTTGTCTCGATCGTTCAATAAAAAGTTATCGGTAGGTCTTTACCGCGGTTGATACTGAATATCCGCCCAATGTCAATGGTAACCCACCGGTAGTGGTCACCGATCACTTGAGAGCCTACCGTATTTTGTTTCCGGTTATGTATACTGGTCGGCGCAGTTTGTCATAATTGTCATCTGTCACATTTTTTTGTTGTCTCGATCGTTCAATAAAAAGTTATCGGTAGGTCTTTACCGGTGTGTTTACTGAATCCGCCCAATGAGAATTGTTTATATTTAAAATTGAGAGTTGTTTGAATTTTCTACAAATCTCATTGGTACATCGACATTACGAAGAAACGGGGCATTAGATTTGTACATTAGTTGATTTAGTATATGTGCTTAAATTTATTTATTAACTCACAGTATAAGAACACTGATGCTGTATAATTTAATTTAAATAATTAAAAGTGATAGAAGTTTGTTGTTTAAAACTCTAAGCTTACTTCGGGTTTTTCTTATGACCGATTCTGAACCGTCCTAGAACTTTGTTACGCATGTGCAGAAGAAAATATGTAGAAATTATTTCATTTGCGTATGCGCTGTAGAGTTCTAGGACGGTTCAGAATCGGTAATAGTAAGAACCCGAACAAAGCTCTAAATCGAAAAAAATGTCCGCCTGACGTCGCACTTCCGTGGTCCAATAGTCTGTCTAACTAGCCAGGGAAGATTTCGATAGAATCTAAAAAATGACTGAAAAATAGAGCTTGGGCAGACTAACTACTTGTTTTTTTCGTTTTATCTTAGCGGTTGGGTGGGCTGGTTTCCCTATCTCCTTTAGGACATAAGAATAATAAATTATTGCTTATCTGTGACCAACAAAGGACCCTTTATCATAAAACTTTTTGATCTTGATTTGCATTTCAAGATAAATTATATTATGTAAAATCTGCGCGTGGAGGCAGTGTTTCAGATGTATTGTTAAGGGGGGGGGGGATGTGCTCTCTTTGCATTAATATCTAGGTATCAAATTAGTGCAGTGTATAACTCTTAGAATTAAAATAATACACATGTACACATTTTTCCTATTTTTTTTATTGAAAAATTGGAGATACAAACATTACAAATAAAAATACAGGAAAAAAGCTAACGATATTGATATAAAGCTAACAATGATTTGACAATTTCAAGTCTTTATATTCAGATAAATAATTCAGTACTTTTTTTTCCTCAATAAAAATAAAGAATATAAAATTGAAAAAATAGAAAGCAACATTGATTATTATTATACTACATACTACAAACAAAAACTATTTCTAAGAGATTTTACTTTTTTACTAAATATAAAATAACAACTCATATTTATTAGGGTGGTCGTTAAAAATTAAAATTTTTTCGTCGCCCCAAAAAATCCTTTGACGAAAAAGTACAGGAAAATTTTTGGTTTTATTTAAATTTGCTATGAATTGCCACTTCAATAGCAACTTAATTGGCCGTCGGCACGTGTTCCTTTTGTTTAAAACCAAAAAAAAAAAATTCTCCGTGGTTGTTGGTCAAAGGAAAGAATTCCTTGGGGCGTCGAATAAAAAAACTTTTTAACGACCACCCTAATAATTATTGAAGTGGAATGATTGAATATAAACAGAACCTTAAAAAGTAAATCCACCAGTTGGCATTTGAGAGATGGAGTTTGAAAATGTGATTTGGCCATCTTGTGTAGCGGGAGTTGGTAAATCATCAATTTGACCCTATTAAGTAATAGAAATATATTAATTTAACTCACAGCTTATACATACTAAGGGCTGGCAAAGGTTAGTTTTGGGTAGAGATTTCTGTATGTAAGAAGAGTACAATGCGTTTATAATGTACTGAACAAAGACGGAACAGTAAAAACGTTGCCAAACATATGAAATAAATCGAGAATCTGTGCATACTGCTAAGAGACGTGGAAGAGGATACAGCAGATTCGTCGCGGCCGACCGGCCGACCCAATCAGTACTTAAAATTCTAGAGAAGGGTGTATATCGTGCATTCAGCTTTACGATTTAATTTCGTCAGGTGATACTTTATTTGTTTATTTATTAACGAGACGTTGTAATTTTCCCTATAGCTTGTAAATTTTTAAGTGCTTCTTAGTGTTTCAGAACTAAGATCCATACCAAAGTTATATTTTTTCTTATGGAACACCCGGTATTTTATTTCATTTTTGGATTCTTGGGCCCAAAAAAGGCAGATATTATAAGGGTTAAATATGTTTAAAATCTTTGGTTTTTGAGATATTTAAAGATATTTAAATTTGCATGCTACTATAGAATAGATTATTAACACCCTGTACATTACTTTTCAGAATTAATTCTTGTGCTGAGTTTAAAGATAAAGAAATAAACTTTACTGGCAAATGTTATTACTTCCTTAAATTTATACAGGAGTATCAAAAATTGCTGATGTACTTTAAGGATTTATTTTATATAAAAACTTCGTTATTTCAAATGCAACACTCTGTATTTTTTTAAATAATCCGAAGCAGATTCAAATGCTCTTTCAAACTATATTAGGGTTTCCTATACCTATCTAGCACAGATTTTGAATAAAAAGCGATTTTTAAATATAATTGCAATCAAGATGGCTGGTGTCGCCATGGTAATTTTCTAGTGACAGTCAGGGGGGTGACAGTAAACCGGAAAATTGGAAACAGTTCTGGCGCGGTCTTACCCAGGCAGAAAGCATGGCCTTCTAGACTGTCCTAGACAAAAATCTGAATATTTCTATATGATTTCTGTCAATTTCAATTACGGAACATTTTTATGCACGTCGACGTCCTCTTCTTTTGTCTGTGTGTCAGCCATGTGTCAACTCCCGAGGCCTCTGGCAAGGTCGGGCGCCATTTTAATTTTTGCCGTTTTAGATTTGAATGGAAGTTTGTTTATGATATTTCGGCTGAAATTTATAAGTACAAAGATGTTTTTTGATATAAAGTTCCTTGTTAACACTTTAATAAAGTATATATGATATTAATTACATGAAGAAAATGATGAAATCGACGTTTCTGGTGTAGTAGGTATGGGCCATATTTTATGTAAAAATAGGTATAATAAATTAACTGTTTTTATATTTTTTTAGCTTTAGATCCAAGGATCTTGGGATATTCTTTACCAAGGATTTTTCCGTATCTCTACTTTAAAGACTGATCGGTGATTTTGAGCAATTGAAAGCAAGTTACACAAGGTAAATTATGATTATTGAACTATTATTAGCCTACAGCCTATATTAATTATCTACAAGATGAACAGAAATGCGTAATTACATATCACATAGATACCTATTATGTATTTTCATAGCAATGATGCTATGTATGTAGATTATTTTTAAAATACAAATGAGGTATTAGATGTATAGGTATCATATTTTTTATTCTTTTTATTTTCATTCAAGTCCTGTTTGATTTAATTTATAACAGTCTTATGTACCTATATTTATGTTTTTTTTTACATATTTTTTTTTGATTCCAGGTTTTGCGTGGGTTCCTGTTGTCTTTTTCCTGCTTCCAGTTAGTTTTACGCCCGTAAAGCTGTGAAAACATTTATTTATCTTCAAGTTTCTGTAAGTCAGTGCATTGTTACTTTACTAATTCACTTTAACACAGCATCTCTGATGTTATTTAAATATTTTGATATTGATACAGTAGTTTATGGGTTTATAGCTCTTTAATTGTGTTGATTTGCATATTTACATTGTTCTAAATTCCAAATAAATATTTTTGAGTAATTTTGTTGTATAATTTACTACTAGAAAAAGTAAAAAGTATATTAACCCTCATTCATAAAATTCATAAAATTGAAATTGTCATGTCAATGAAGTGTCTATGTCATGTCAAATCATGTCAAATGTCCCAGCCGCCATATCTGAAAATTAGTTACCCAGGCAGCCACGCTGTTTCCATAATTTAACATTGACTTGACACTTCTTCTTGTATTTATTATTTTATGGTGACAGTTAGTAACTATTTTCAAAGTCGAAATTAGTTTATGGACATTATTATTTATAATTTATAACAGTTTACTTAGATTTACCTACATAACGTTTAATAAATAAGTATTCGTTGTTTTATCAAGAAAAATAAAGCAATATCTGCTGTCGAAACGAATGGATATGTTTCTAGTGATTTTATTTTGTTAGGAAAATTGCTTCTTGGCCTCAAGACCTTATGCTCAAAGGTATCCAAAAATAGGAATCTTCCTGATAAACGTTCCTTTGAAAAACTACTTGCCCTATTTTGCAGAGCTGCTAATGCGGTTTATAAACAACCTGTTAGAGACAGAAACCTGTCGTTGGAAGTGAAGAAAATGAATTTGCCGTAATTGTCTCTTTTATAGCACAGTCTGTACAATAATGCTTTGGAACCACTGAACGTGGTACAGAATTATATACTTAAAGTGATCTTACAAAAACCAAAATATTTTTCCACAAATTTGCTGTATGATGAAAACTTACTCAATCTTAGAATGATATACTTTTTCAATAATTGCCTCTTTATACATAAAAACAAATATTTACAATCAAGAATTAAACATTCATACCACACGAAACATATTACTAATCAGAATTTAATTGTTCCTATTTATAAACGTGATGGTAATCGAAGGTTTCTTAAAACCATAGCACCTAAACTCTATAACTCACTACCAGTCAACTTAAAAAATATTTCTAACAATAAAAAATTTGCTAATATGTGTAGATCAATTGTGTTTCATAACTATAAATATTATCTTCAATTTCTTTGAGCAATTTTTGGATTTTGTGTATTTATTTTTATGGGGTGGTGTAGGATGTAGTACTGAATATATATGTATAAAAGAATAATGTATTGTAGTTAGATAGATAAGTAAAATAATTAATTTACAATTCTGTTAATTTTATACATTTAGATATTAGATTTTGCACATACAGATCGTATGTGATCTAGGCGCAACGATAAAATGTGTTTTAACATATCATACATAATTATTATTATATGAATGAATTATTGTAATATCAAGTTTAATACTGGAATAAACTGAATTGAATTGAATAGAAAATCCATATATCTACAAGTCATCGTAAAATAAATCAAAGAACTACTTCTTCGTTTTTCTTGATAGAATAATAAATACATATTTCATAAATATTATTTATTAAACTACTGTAGGTAAATTAAGTAAAAGTAAAGTGGTATAAATTGAAATAAATCCATAAACTAATTTCGATTTTGAAAATAGCTACTAACTGTCAATAAAAAACCTGCCATGATGACACTAGCTCTCTTGGTTGCCATTTTATTTAAAAATTGCTCTTTATTCAAAATATGAGCTAGATAGGTATAGGAAACCCTAATATAGTTTGAAAGAGCATTTGAATTTGCTTCGATTTATTATAAAAAATACAGTGTGTTATATTTGAAATAACGAAGTTTTTATGTAAAATAAATCCTTAGATTAAATCAGCAATTTTTGATACCCCTTTATAAATCTAGGGAAGTAATAACACTTTCCAGTAAAGTTTATTTCTTTACCTTTAAACCCAACATAAGAATTAATTCTGAAAAGAATGTACAGGGTGTAAATAATCTATTCTATAGTAGCATGCAAATTTAAATATCTCAAAAAGAGAGAAAAAAAAAAAGATTTTAAACATATTTAACCTTTATAATAAATATCTTTTTTGGGCCCACGAATCCAAAAATGAAATAAAATACCCGGTGTTCCATAAGAAAAAATATTACTTTGGTATGGATCTTAGTTCTGAAACACCCTGTATATTTCAAAATAATTTTAAATTGTGCCCACATTGCCTCCCCACATATACTCATAAAATATTTTGTTTCTACATCTTTCCGTTTTGATTATTTTTCGTATAATCAACCGAGGCGAATGAGGTGCGCCACCCTGTATTCGACCCAAAAGTAAGAGTTGCCTGCACGGTATACGGTTTATCAGGCAACCTGATTACTAAAAGTTTTTTTAGTAATTTTAATTTGAAAATTGCAGTATGCAGTGTTGATAGATACTCATAATGACTATAATAGTTACTCTATTATGACGTATTTTTGTCAGCAAATCTGACTTATTTGACTGTTGAGAAACATTTAAATCTATTTTAAATTGTATAATATTGTTGCGGACCGGTGTGGACTCGACCTAACCTAACAATATGGCCCGCCCTCGGATGACCTTAACATCGCATAAACACCGTAATGATTCATTCGAAGATTCGAGAAGGATCGAGTCCCACTGGAATGGAGTAGTACATACGAGAACATTCGAAACCTTCTCTATGCACCTAACGATCTATGGACTATTCTAGTAAACTTTAACTGTAGGTATAAAAGCCGGCGGCTGTGGCCTAGAGAGGGCAGTTATAAATAGACAAGTATAGTTGACGCGCTAAAATTCAAAATAAATTCTTAGTTATAAATCGTTTGTAAATAGTTCTTTAAGTCTTTTATCGTTATTGTTTTTGTTAATTAGTGTTAAATAAATAGTGTTTAAATAAATTGTGACTTTCTATCCACACGGAACCGACGAAAAACGTAACAATATTTGAATATGTTTTTTTTTTTTTTTCTTTATTGATATAGTTTATCTAGATAAATACCAATAAGAGAGTATATGTTCTATTTGTTTTATTTTTTTTTGGCCAGCTTGCATTGCAATAAAGCCATCGTTTGGATGTAAATATACTCAAAAAGAAGAATAACGTGTTCTGAATACCTATTTCGTCCCGATTTTTTCTTCTTTTTGATATAAATATTCCTAAAATTCCAATTTTTCTGGAAAATAATAAAAAAGAACAAGAAAATTCAGAATAACATTTAAAAAATCAACTGATTGAATTTCCAACCTATTTTCTTTGCGCTGGTTATAAATCGCCGACATTACTTGCTCATTCATTCTAGGGGAAAATTCTCGAAAATTTCACAGTACTAGTTATCAATATTTCGAAGTAAACTTTTAAAATATTTAATAGGCAAGTTCATGTAATAATCTTTGAATATGTAATTTACTATTTTGAATTTAAACTTACCTCATTAAAGAAGTTTTCAATGATGTTCAAAGCTTTCTCATAAACTTTTTCGTTGTCATGGCTCTGCAACGATTCAATAAGATCCAATCCTCCGCATTCCTCAATTAAAATTCCTACTTTTTCGGCTTCACCCATTTTTTGGGCGGCCGATAGAATGTTATTTAACCCATCTAATATTACACATACTACTTTAGCATCTTTTGAATTTAATAGATTACACATAGGTTTAATGGCGCCATACTAAAAAAACATATAATTATTTTAGATTCATCCAAAAATATATATTATATGCTGTGTACAGGGTGTACCATTTTTGTGTGTTTTACGGGGTTTCGCGTTTATGAGTAGAGAAACAAAGATGCGGTTTTCACATCGTTGAAAATTGTACATTTTTTGACCCCCTTTGTATCTTGGTTATCTTATAACTTATCGAAAAGGTGAAAACTGAGCCCCATAGAGTAATTTGACTTAGAAACCAGTGGCGTAACTAGTTTTTCGCTGGAAGCTGTCATTTCCGAAATATGACTCAACTTATGTTATTTTTTTAAATGGGACACCCTGTATATTATTTTAGTACTTTATTTTCCTTGTCATGAGCGTTAAAATATAATATATTCATTCTATACATACTTAGTTTTGCATACATTTTTAACCTTTTTAAATAAACTTAAAAAATTAAAATAGGTAATCAAAAAAATCGAAGTTTTGATTACCTATTTTAAACTGGTCGCTTATTTTAAAAAGTTAAACAATGCATTTTTTACCTTATTTATGAAAATAAGTATAGAGTATGTATTTTTAGGGGAAATTAAAATAACTTTGGTTGTACATCATAATATGACCACCAGCAAACTCCATAAGACGCCGCATTGAAACATAAGTTTGGATCATATTTCAAGAATGTCAGCTAACAGCAAATATATAGTTACGCCACTGAATTCTATGTGAAAAATTCTATGGGAGTTAGCTTCACCTTTCCGATAAATTATAGGATAACTGAGATATGACGGGAGATGCAACATTTTCAATTTCGCCCTGTATTTCAGGAACTAAGAGAGCTAGAACAAATATGTGTGTAGCATCTTTAGATAACTAAATATCTTTGAAACTGCACCTTTGTAGCTCTACTCATAAACGAGAAACCCTGCAAAACAGACGAAAATGGGGCATCCTGTACAAAGTAGATAGTAAGATACAGATAGTAAAAAATAAGTGAAGATTAAACTCTACTTAATACAAGACATTCTTTTGTTTTCCCAGTATTTCTTGTTTTTAAATAATTTTTTAAATGATTTAAAAACAAACATTTTTTCATTAATTTATTTACTTCTTTGGACCAATTAAAACAAATGTAATATTAACTTAGGATTATGTAATGTGATGAGAAAGGAACACAAAAATGCAGTAATATACAGAGTGTTCCGTTCCTCATTCACTGGCGCTTTTTTGAGACATCCTGTAGAAGCGAACATATTTCCCGAAATATCTCTTCTACAAGTATATAATTACCTCCACAAGTTTTGCTAATTGCTGGATAGAGCCACCGCTTGTGTAATTTGTCACAGCCCAAGCTGCTTCTTTTTGGCTCTTGAAATCGCCTGTTGCAAGAACATGCAACAGAACCGGCATAATACCAGCGTCTAAGACTTTTTGTATTTGTTCACTGTTTCCTACAACACATTTGAATAAAACTATTTTAGATTAGAGGTTAAAAACTGAATACCAGCTGTGACATTGGATATAGTCCAGGCTGCTTCCTTTATTATGTTCAATCTATAATGCTGGAGAAGCTTGGTCATTACATTTAAAGCCCCAGCATTTATAACAGCATCGGTTTGGACATCATTGCCTGTAACAATATTACCGACAGCTCTTAAAGCGGGCGTTAATACTAAACTCTCAGGACTATCTAAAAGCTCCACCAATCTAAAAAAGTTAACAATATTTGTAACAGAACACTCGCGACTTTTCATTTCGTTTATATTGTAAAGGCGCCCACAGACCTTGTTGTTCTTTAGCAGTGTTAATCGTCGATTAACACTAGTGATGGGATAACTCAAGTAAAGATTCGCTCGAGTACTCGATTATTGAAATCAGCAGCCAAACCAAACCGATTATGAACGAGCGATGCAAGTGACGAGTTACAAGCGACGAACGCAAGCGATCCTAGAATGAAATAAATTGAAATCCGATGTGACATATTCGATAAAAAGCCGAGCGAATTTTCTACATACATTGCAGGTAGCAAATTTATACGACAGCCGTATATATATTTATCCGTAGCATATCTGAGGGACAAAATTTTACGACCTACATCGACAATGCTTTGAAATCGAGGGGTGTCTCACTCGGGTAAAAAATGTACACGTACTACCAAAATAATCTTTTACTGTCAAGCGACTACCAATGACTACGAAGAAGACTGCCTATGACTGCCATGTAATTATTATAGGCGACTGCCATAAGACTGCCAATGACGGCCAGCGACTGCCAAGAAAATGTACATGTAATTCCAATAGTGAGACACCCCTCGTTTGAAATAAACTAAATCAAGCGTGAAGAATATGTGCCCTGCGCACGCAACTTACTGCTTGGCGTTAACGAGTACTTACAACTTACAACAAGCGACGGACAAAAAACCATATTTTTAAATACGAGTGATATTTCGCTCGAGCGATCAGTCGGATATTGCAATCGCTTGAAACTCGAGTACTCGATTTTTGAAATTAATCGGTTTTTCCCATCACTAATTAACACTGCTGGACTGGACAATTAAAACTGTGTTTGCACAGACACTACGTACAGTGTAAAACGGTAACAACATGAAACGCATCGATTTACTTGCAGTGGCGGCAGCGATAGCAACACCAAAAGTAAAAATGAAGAAAAACAGAAAAAGGTGGGCTAAAGCTTGGTTATTTAAAAGCTACCAGAATCTCTCATCTTCTTTAATTCCTGCCGGAAATTGCTAGGAAAAGAATCTGTTTTGTTTTTTACACTTTGTAAAGAAGCTAACGCTTTAAAACTTTAGGGCAAGGTTTTTTGGAGAGACTAGAGGAAGCAGCAGAAGCCAACATCAGCGACATCGGGAACTTTGCTGGAAGAGCTGGAAGTGCTTGAACGCAAACAAAGTATGAAAGGAAGGTTTGGTACAACACAGGGGTATCGCAATGGGCCCAAGGCCTCCGAGTGAGGGATCAAACATGATCCCAAACCCCAGCAACCTAACCTAACTTTGTAGAGAAGCTTCCACATCCACCTATTCATTTTTTCAAATAGAATTTCACGCGCATTATTTTTTTATGGCGATTTTTGTAATAGGGTCCTTGCACGTGTCAGGTATAATTTAAATATTTATACATTTTTACCTAAAACATATATATGTAAAATCAGTTTACAGTGTAACACATATGTAAAATCAGAGTACAAATTCCATCTGGAAAGTACTTAAATTAATGATTGAAATTCATTGAAATTCGCTTGGCGCGAAAACGAGGCGTGATGTCAAAGATCAAATTATCGGCTTACAGCGGACGCATTCTATTTAAATAAAGCGTTGCACTTTGTTTAGAATTATGACAGAAGTTGTGTTGCCAGAATTGCAGGATTTCCTTCAATATGAACAATACAGACAAATCTCGTCGATTAAAGGGCCATTTTTGAAGAATTTTTACCCAAAAAGAAGACAATATGAAGGTTTCTGGCAGCTTTGCACAATAAAAAATTGTTAAAATATGTAGTAGAGTATTTATTGTTATATCCTACATCTATTTTTTCACTTTAACGGTGTTTAATTAAGGATGAAGTTAAAAGCAATTCAAAAAGTCCACAGTTCGAAAGATTTTAACATTTAACAAAAAAATAATAGATACATTTTACGTCTTATTACACACATACCATAACTAAACCAAAGTTCTCGTTGAAAAGAAATAAATAGGTAAACGGAAAACATAAATATCTAATAAGTCAGCTGATCATGGCGTCTTGATTAATTATTTTAGATTGAAGCAGCCATTGTAAGAAATAATTTTTTTGAGACATACTTTATAATACTGCTGTCGAGTATCTATCACAACATTTTTGCTCATGTTATGTTTTAATAAAAAAATATATAAATACATCAGTGTACCAAAATTACCAGAAGTAAGTTTTTAAAAATTTTCTCCTTATTATAAAATATGTAAAATATACGAAATTTGGTGATTTTTTACAAGATTTGGATTTTTTTGTGAAGTTGAAGGAATAGGAAAGGTTTTTAAAGCTCCGTTGAAGAAATTCGCTCGAAAATATCTGACAACACTGCTCTTCTCTATTTGACGCATACATCAAGTATATTCTGTGGCATACATGCTCGTCCGTCAAACGAACGTCAATCTGCAATTTGTAAATCGTCGAGATCTAAATAAAAGTCGATGAAATACGATAAAAATAATCCACAAAGAAGGCAAACAGTTAAAATAGGTAAAAAAAGTTTTAACGATGGTATAGATATAATAGAATCAGAGAATAGCGAATGTGAAATTTCTAGATAAAATATTAACAAGTAGTATTGTATTTAAAGGTATGAATTGAGATAATTAAATGCTAGAGTAAACGCCACGAATGTTTGGGAGTGATTCATTGCTTGATGAAGTTAGAATCGACACGCGGGCTATCATTTTTACATTAAAAACGTAAATTTTTACCGCAGACGTTGGTTTTTAAAGGCCCGGTCTAATCATCTGCCTGCGCTTCTCCTACTTATTCTAAAATGTTAGCGTGATTGACAAAGACGATACTATATCGCATTTCTTTGATTGATTCGTTTTTGTGCGTCAGTCCATTGGTGTGCTTGCAGTGCGACCAATGGGGCATTCCATTTTATATTTATAACCAAATATATGTTTTGACAAGACTTTGACAGTTAAAACAACAAATTACAACAGATTATATATTGATTATTATATGACTTCAAACACCACAGCACTGGAATTAAGTTTTATGTGACCTTGAACAGATTAGTTCACATGGTAGCGACCGATGAATCACTCTCAAACATTCGTGGCGTTTACTATAATTATTTACTTAACCTATAGTTTTCTTTAAATATGTACATATACTTACTGTTAACGTTAAAAATATTCATGGCATAAATGAATAAGGGCAAAAACATTCAGGAAATGATTATTTAATAGAAAATAAGAGGGATTTTATGTAAACCTTTTTGATTGGACGTTTTCATATGTAATAATCTGTTAGAGTTTAAAAGAATTTTACACGCATCTATTTTGTTAATTTAAAAAAACAATGAACATGAAATGGATGAAACAGTAGAAACCGCCGGCGCCGAACACCATTCCAATTTTATGATTAAAAATGCTTGTTCAGTGACGAAGTATAACTTTATAAAATCAATCAAAACGCTATTTTTATTCACACATCGGCTGGTTGACAAGTGGTAAACATAAATCGTGTACGTACCTATTTACTTTTGCTCCTCCAATTTTGGCAGAAGTAAACAAAACATTCTGTGAAAAATAATAGGCGGTCATCGTCGAATCTACTTTCCGTAGATTGTCTGTGCTTTATTATAATCCGGTTCGGTATTACCTCCGGTTCTGTCATAATTCTAACAAACTGAAACACCCAGTGATATTGAAATAAATTTGAAAAACATCTACATAATTTAGAAATTATTTAGATGTCAAATGTCATTAGGAAGAGCTTATTAAAATTTAAATGGAATGCGTTCGCTGTGAGCCGAAAATTTTAACATTTTTGACGTCACGCCTCGTTTTCGCGCCAAGCGAATTTCAATCATTAATTTAAGTACTTTCCAGATGGAATTTGTACAAACTGATTTTACATAATATGTTTTAGGTAAAAATGTATTAGAAATCATAAATATTTAAATTATACCCGACACGTGCAAGGACCCTATTGTCAGTCTTAATTTTCCATAACCAGGCAAGGACCTATGGACAACGTTTATAAAGTGTATTAAAAACTCTTTTATTTAAATCCCGTAAGTCCATGTTGGTTAAATTTTTTTTTTGAAAAAGTTACAAACTTAATAGAATAACCCATATAAATGAGACAACAAATAATAAATGCAACATGTACAAGTGCACCAATGTGAAAGACCGATTAAAAAGTAACGGCGCACACATCGGTTTTCACGAACATGGACGAACCGACGATTAAGATTTCAAGCAAAGGCAGAAATTTTCACCGACAGTGATGATATCCGTGTGGTGGCACAGTCTATAAGTTTTAATCGTAGTTGTTAACCGCGGCGGTCAAAAAAGAACGATGTCTGTGGGGCTCTTAAAAGGATATAATGATTCATATTAACCTATTTATTAGGCCAGTGTCTAGAACTGCCTGAATCTTATCATTATTGCCATCAGTTAAATAAGATAATGCCCAACATGTATCTGCCAGAACATCTCTGTCTTGGTAAGACAGCAATTTGGCCAATGTTGGCAGAGCAGGTCTTACGGCTTCAAAATCTGGAAATGGATTTTTATTTCTGCAAAGATTAGATATAGCCCAGACCTAAAACAAACATAATTAAATAGCATTGATTTTAAAAATTCCGACCGCAGCGCTTGATACGGCAGAAATCAGAAGTTTTCGTTTTGTATTTCGAGCAGTCTCGATGTTGATCGCATCGAAATAATATTAAAATCGTGGCTTTGTCATAATATTTAAGTATTTTAGTTTTTAATAGTGCAGTTTTTGAAACTTAAAATACTCAGGTACGAGGTTTGTGTGATGTAATGCTATTTCGGGTAGTAAAAATTAAGTGAAAAAGAACCCGAACTGGGCGTCGCTTTGTGTTGTGATAATTTCAAATAATGTTAACAAAATTGTCGAGAAAATGTTAACAAGTAAAGGAGGGCGTAATTACATGGTTGTTGGGTGCAATAACATTCAATAATCAACTTTTCCGGATATGCAACTCTCCCGAAACAACATTTTATAGCTCCACAACTTTTTGATCACAACACTTCACAACAATTTGATTAAAAGCAAAAATGGATTCAAGCAGCTTGACGAAACAAGTGAGTAAACAAAGTGCCCATTACATAATCAAAAAATTAAATAGACATATAATATATAAGAGGATAAATTATAATTTGCAATATTAATGGTATACTTGTTTTAATCAACTAGTGCTTAAATTTTTTATGAACATCTAAAATTATAATTATGTACGTTTAAAAAAATTCGTTATAATCGAGAAATAGCCCCAGTTATGTCTACGCTAGCAAAATACCGTAGTTGAACTTAGAGATGAGCAAAACTGCGATTCTCCAATCGCAAATCGCAATTGAAACTGCGATTGCGATTTTTAAATCGCTGCGACTGTAACCTGCGATTGCGATTTTAATATTTAAATATTGTACTAGGCATTCTATTCAGAGTGTTATTTTCTATCGAATAAAGTAAAAAATTACGGAGGGTGCCATTTAAAAATCAAAAGTTGTAGTTATTTCCGGTGAAACAGGAAGTGATCGAAGCGAATTGAATACGTCAATCTTACCAAATCTCGTTTTTTTTATTAGAAAAATTAAAAAAGTTATAGAGGCGAACCACTCTTGAGAAACACCCGGTATATTATGATCTTGGTCCTAGAAAATAATATCTTCTCCATAAATAAATAAATTCAGAGAAAAATGTAATCGCAGTTTACTACAAAATGCTTCAATGGACCACAAAATTACGTTCGCAACAAAATCGCAAATCTCAACTCGCGCTCTAAAAATTCAAACTCGCGGATAGAAGATTATCACGGTTCTAGTTTACAAAATCACAATCGCAACAAAGTCGCAAATCGCAGCAAAATCGTAAATCGCAACTATAGTAATATTGGTTGTCTAAATTGAAACTCGCAAATAGAAAAATCGCAGTCGCAGTTTCCTATGAGAGCCAATCGTTGGTTGCGATTGAATCGCGGTTGCGATTGAATCGCAGTTTGCGATTTATTGCTCATCTCTAGTTGAACTCATCTAAAAAGTTTTAGCAATCGAATAATAAATTATAATACAAGTTAGCCCACGGCCACACAGAAAGCGCTTTTAGCGTTTTGTGTTTTTTGCGTCTCAAGCGCTTTTTGTGATTTTACCGTTTTAAGCGTTTTTTTTTCGATTTGTGTCCATTAAAACACGCAAAAGACGCGGCAGTTCTGCAGTTTCTATCAAGATGTCAATTAGTATCGTCGCAAGCTCGTGGATTCCCGGCTCGTTCAACAATCAATCCTGTGAGAAAGAGATAGGCGAGATCGGCGCGGTTAGCGTTGAAAAGACGAAGATAATATATACTGGGATTGAACTGTGGATGGGCCGGGGCATATATTCAGCGACAAACACAATCTACTGCTAGTGCCAGTGGTGTGTGTGAAAATAATAATTATTTGCCATTTATTTTACGAATTTTAGTTTATATGTGTATAATTTTTTTATGTTGTAGTGTTGTGGTTACTTGTTACAATTATAATATAATATAATAAATAATTATAATTATATAATAGAATAGTAAATATTACTAGTTGCTAACGCAATTTTAGGACATGATTTATGGAACTTTTTGGAGTGAAACTTCTTTACGCGCGTTGGGAGTAAAAATTCAAGGCCCTGACACACGAGCTAGTTGTAACGAAACGTGTTAACGGCTTAGAAATACGTAGTGACGCGACGTATATTTGTGAGCAGTCCACGTGTTTATAAAAAAATATTGATATTTTAATACAAATTTTGTAAAAATGAATCAAATTATTACGTGTAAAAAACCATTTGTTACACGTAAAAAAATATTTTTACGCGTATAAAACTATTTGTTACTGGTAGAAAACTATTTTTTACGCGTATAAAACTATTTGCTACTGGTAGAAAACTATTTTTTACGCGTAGAGAACTATTTGTTACACGTAAAAAAATAATTTTTAAGCGTACTTTTTTACCCAAAAAAAAAAAAAAAATTACATGTAAAACATTATTTAAACTTTTTATTTTTATTGTATTATTAAATATAACGTTCGCCTATGACGGGGTCTCATCTTAGAAATCGCTAAAGACGCTACAGAAAACAAACTGATTTGTTTTCATTTGCGTTTTTTGCGAGACACGCCGAACGCTATAAGCTTTTGGTGGGGCCACTCCTATATAACCCTGTTATTTTGTTTTAGTCGCTAAAGACGCTTCACGCTAAAAACGTTTTCTGTGTGGCCGTGGGCTTAGACGTTCTGAAGATATCAAAATATTTACTTTTATTTGTATTTTTAGAATTTTTACAAATTACACACTAGCAAATTCGTATTAAAATTAACAAAAAATTACAAAAAAGAGTTGAAACCTCGGTTAAAACCAAAGCAAATAAACACTCAGGCCCAGCGCCCATGGTGCGACTGTTTGAGACAAAAGTTGCAAATCAGTTGAGCTGTTGTTTTGCAACTTCAATCAATTCAAACGGGACTAGTTTACAATCAGTTACAGATCTGTTGTTCGCGCCCATCGGTCGCAATTGTTTGCATTTTAAAAGTTGCTTGTTTTTGTAACTTTAATATCTATATCAATATGGCTAATCAAGAATTAAACATCAAACTGACATAGTAATTTATTTAGTTGATTTATCAGTTGACGAGATCTGACTATTTATAACCACAAAGTCGCACAAAAGAGTTTTGATTGTGTTGGTTTCAACCTTTTTGGGGGGTTAATCGGTTTTTTTTTATATTTTAATTCTAATCTGATTTCTTTCAATGTCTCATTTAAAAAATAATTTATAATCTGTTCCTACTGCGATGGCGCCATTGTAAGGATTTGATCCTCCGGCGAGCGGCATGTGTTTTTTTAATGTTCCTCCAACGCCCAAGAAAAAATGAATGAATCTTGCAACGTCGACAAAATTTGGAGGAGTTTTTGTATAGAAAGTAACTTGTCACAGCAGTTTAATTATTTATTTTTTCATTAAATTGTGGATCATCGACATTTTTTTTTTGTTTTGAAATACTTATTTTGATGTATGATTTCGAGTAATATAAAAAAAAGTATAAAATTCTTGGGATGTCGTGGGTGTTATATCTGACCAATATATTCAAATATAAAAGATATGTAAAACTCACCGCATTTCTTAGCAGCGAAACTGAAGTGTTTGGCTCAATAAGTCTCAAAATATTAGGTAGTACTCCAGCAGCCAATACCAAATCTCTAGTCATAGGTCCATCGCCCGCAATGTTACCTTTAAAATAATTACAAAGATTTAAATTTCAATAAATAAATTACAAATCAAAATTTCACACCTAAAGCCCAAACTGCTTGCTCGCAAACATCTAAGCGTGGTGAAAGCAGAAGAGCTTGAAGTTTAGGAATTGCGCCTTCTTGAACTACAGCGGCTGTTTGTTCAGACGTTCCTGATGCTATATTGGTTAATGCCCAACAAGCTTCAAACTGTAAAGGAGGGCTGTAAAGAAATAAAACATAAGTTTAGAATTAACATTTTTAGTAAGCTTTCAATATATACAAAGATATGGAGATTTTTCAGAACAGTGTTGAACACTAAACTTGAGAGAATGAGTAAAATAATGAGAAGGCAATAATATATTAAAAATGAAAAATTTTGAAATAAAACATAGAAATATATTTTTTTGAACACACATTAGGTATGTTGTAATATATCTGTGGAACATTTTTACACTTGCAGATGAAATCTTTTATACGTCTTCACAGGACGAAAATAATTTGCCTTCTTTTTCACTTAACAATGGTAGTGTTGTAGTTTATTACATATTATCTCTAACTATTGTATAATGACTGTCTTAGTGAACGCATTCTAGTGTTTTTCTAGATGTAAAATATGCAGATGTTAAAGAGAATAAAAAAGTCATTATGCAAATTCACTTCCTAATTTTATTTAAAACAATGTTGTTCAATCTAAAAATTACTACAAGAAGCCCCTAACAAAAAAGCTCCATGAAATTATTTAAGTGTTTATTTCAGTGATTATTTAGCCAAAACAACACTGCAATATGAGCACAAATAAAGACCTAAACTTACTTGTGACTTTTCCCTAAAAATTCAACGCATCTGGGAACAACACCTAATCTTATCATCTGATCAATTGGAGGTGTTCGCTCTCTGCTTAAAATTTTTCTACAAGCCTGTGTAGCTTGAAATTGAATTGCTTCATCTGGATTCATCATACCTAATTAAAATAATAGATATAAGCAATAAAAGTTTTTGAAAAACAAATACTATTATTATACCAAACATAATTTCTTCTGGCTTCATTGTTGCAGGACTGGTTTGATTATTTTCTTGTAAGGGGGACGCAGGTTCGTCGCTTGCAACCGATATGTTTCTTCTCTTAAGTAACTGGTCATCTTTTTTTGCTTTACGAAGCTCAACAGCTTGACCTATTCGTCGACGTCTCATCTCCTAAATAAAACGCATAAAATAATAAACTGCTAATTATCGCTAAATAAAATAAATCTATTATGTACCTCAGTATCTTTTCCCTTATTTTTGAACGAACGGATTCTATTTTCATCTGCCATGTTCAATATCTTCTCTGTACTTCTTAATCAGGTCCTAAACTATAAAGCGATATAAAACGTTTTTACTTAAGTTAAAGATGAACAAAGAAATAAAAAAAAATAAGAAAAAAAAACAAAAAACCGGAGATTTCGGTTTTGAAATTGTCTTACTCAATAATAAAAAGTTAATATTTACCTTAACGAATTAAAACAATTTATAGTAAAAATACAATAAAAACACAGATAAATGAATAAAATTTAAACTAAAAACATGTTAATGAAAAATACTAAAAATGGCTGTTCCCCGCGCGAACCGGTAAAAAGAATCTGTCCAAAGAATCACTCCGTCAAATCTGTCAAGTAAAAAATGTTTGCAACAAAAAGAACCAAACTGGAACCAACTATTTAACTATTGCCAACATTAGCTTTAAAGGAAATACAGAATAGTTCGTTTGTACTAAGTTAAACAAAGAGTTAAACATTTAAATCAAACATCAAAAATAACGGCACAAGTTAATAAAATATGGGAGGCTGATGGGAGATTGGTAATTACCGGGAGGTTTATTTTAAAATCCATTTATCTGTGATTTGACATAAAACGATCATAAGAAGTCTGTAAGGAATAGTAATATCGACATTTTTGTTGGTCGATGTATATCACGCATTCCTTTCTAGAAACGAACCTTTTATATTCTGTGGATATTGATTGTGGATAATTCTGTGGTCAGTAGTGCAAATGTTTTGTTTATTTCTAGTTCAGAGAAAACAAAATTATACATGTTCATAAAATGAATCATTTTTGTATTGTCATGTTATGTAGTTTTGAGGAAGTGTTTAAAAATAATATAATCTTTTTTTAGTTTAAAATTCTTTCAAATTATATTTTTATTATAAATGTCGAACTCCACAGAATTTATTGAAAATGCCGTTAATGCGGCAAAAATTGCAGTGAAGTTTGATCAAGATGGTCAAATAGAACCTTCTGTTTATTATTATGAAGCTGCTACAAATTTATTACATCAAGCTATTGATCTGATAGAGGAAGAAGACAAGAAAGTGCCTTTAATTAAGAAGGCAACAGAGTATAAAACTCGAGCAAACTTCATTAAAGCAAATGCACAAGTAGACAAGAAAACGTAAACACAGATTCAAATAACTATTGTTGGAATACTATATGATTATTTGTAGAATTTCAGATTTTAAAGAAGAAAATGACAAAAAAATTGTTATAAAACAGTGTCATTTTTTATTACAACAGGCAATTGAAGTAGATGAACAGAATGAAGTGCAAAATGCAATTGATTTATATGCAAATGCAGTTGAATATGTCACTAAGTATCCAGAATTAATACAAGGAGAACTGAAACAACTTACATTGAAGGCCATAGAAAGGGCAGAATATTTGAAAGGCATGAATGTTAATTAAGTATTAAAGGTAAATTAATATTTATATTTTAGGAACACTTAAGAAAATATCAACTGAAGATGTAGATTTAGTAGGTAATTTTAGTGCAGACTCAGATATAAGAAAAAATGATGCGAACCAAACATCAAATTCAAAAAATCCCAAGCTTCATTTACACCGAGGAAATAGTGCTCATTTACAAGTATGTTTTATAGATATATAGATTTATAACTTAAAATAATAGAGGTATATTTAGACATTTTTTATTGATTAGGAATTTATATATATATATATATATATATATATATCTACATTAATCAATCTAATAATCGTTATCATGCATAAAAGAATATCAAAAAATGATAAAAATTGATATAAACATTTTATGAATGCATTAAAAATATTAGTGCTTAAAATTTATGATTTGGGAATGGTAATACTGAAGAGCTTAGGAGTATTACTCTTGATATAAATATTGAAGGTGGCTCATTTTATGTATTATGTTTAATATGCTATTAGAACTTATACACAAACACTAATAGAATAAATATTATGCTTATAAAATATTACTTTTGTCCTTAAAAATAAAGGATTTTTAACATCTTTCATTCTTAACTGTGGGATTTAAATCATTAAAGTATGAATGCAGCATGGCATCCTCTGCAGATATTCTCCCTAATGGATTACAAACTAATAGTTTATGAAGCAAATCTCTACCTCTGTTTCCTAACTTAGGAACCACTTGAGACAGACTCATATTGAGCTGATATGCTGGAAAAGGTTTGTAGTCAGGTAACTGACTCATACCATTCCAGATCTCTTCTGTCGGAGTACCTAAAAGTTTAAATATCCTTCTTAATTGGTCATCGACATCAGATCCAGGAAATAAAGGTCTACCAGCATTTGCTAACTCTGCAAAAATGCACCCCGCAGACCACATATCAATTGACGTTGTGTATAATTTTGCCCCAAATAGAACATCCGGGGGACGATACCACAAAGTAACTACTTCTGCTGAATAACATTTGACAGGTATACCAAAAGCCCTGGCCAGTCCAAAATCGGCCAACTTTAACTCTCCATTCTTGTTAATTAAAAGGTTTTGAGGTTTTAAATCTCTATGAAGCACATTATGATTATGACAAAATGCCAGACCTCGTAATAGTTGGTACATAAAAGATTTTACTACATCTAAGTCAATATCACCATTTAGACTATCAAAGTACTTTTTTAAATCCTGATCGCAGTGTTCAAACACTAAAGTTAATTTTTTATCACTGTGAAGAACATCGTACAACCTGACAATATTTTTATGTTTTAGCTCTTTTAAAAGACAAATTTCTCGTAGTGCCGAGGATGGAACACCTTCATCGTCGTCATCTAATCTGACTCTCTTCAAGGCGACTATTTCGTGCGATTCTCGATTTTTTGCTTTAAAAACAGTCCCATAAGTACCTTCCCCTATTTTTTCTAATTTTTCGTATTTCTGCATCTCCTTACGGTAATTTGGATAGGGAAAATTATGGTAGAATGATTATTTGGTGTGCAAAAATTCGGGATAAACAAAAAATGTAAACAAGTCTAGAAAGTATGGTTAGGTTATACTGGATAGGGATGCCTGCAAAATGTCGATATATTTTTTTATCAAATATATCGATACATATAATGAACGGTTAATTTTAGGGATGGGCGGACAAAGATTTTAAGACATTTTCTTCCACTTTCAAGAAATAAATTAATGTCTTTGTTAATAAAAAATCTTGTTATAGCTTAAAAAAATAATTTTGTTTTTTTATAATTTTTGTTAGATCGAAAATTTTTAAATATTGCCAAGAGAATCAGACTGACTGAATTTGTGTCGTTTTATATATATATTTTTTTATTTTTAAGCTAAAAAAAATAATAAAGCGTTGTATTTTTACTGCCGTAATGAAGTTATTGACTATTCAAAAGTATTCCAGATTATTCGATAAAATGTGACAATTTTATAGAAAAAATTTGAAACAAAATTAATTTTTGGTTTTCAAAAAGTTGCGTTGGTGTTGTGGGATCATTAGGAATCCCATATTATTTGCAAACATTACATTTTATTGGTTCAAATATCTAAGCAGCATTTTTTATTAAGTGTTCTTTATATTGAGGATAAAAGATTCTAAAATATACAGGGTGTCACAATATTCCGTGGACATACAACTACTGCTTATTTTTGGAATCAAAACAAGTTCATTGGACACAATTTACCTCTATACAAAAGTGCTTCGTTTGTCCGCTAGATGACATTCAACTTGGAAAAAATAAACACATTCTTTAAGATATTTTAAGAACCGTTATTCCAATTTGAATGAGATTTTGAGTGACTATGTTTTGCTAAGTGCTTTAATATGCATATTCTCTCGAGAGAAAGAGGACGACTTTCAAGAGTGAAGTACAAACGAGGGCAAGCAGAAACGTGGAGAGGAACCGCTCAGTGCAGCAGCGGCAGGTAGAATGAGAAGTATCGGAAAAAGGCAGATGGACATAATATGTCCATCTGCGGTTATAAGCTTATCGCAAATATAAATATGTTGGATTAAAAGAAAGCATAAAAAAAGCAGTAAACTTCTATCTTACTCAAATATTGAGTGGTCATGGGAATTTTAGGAGTTACCTGTGTAAAATTGGAAAGAGGGAAGTCGCAACCTGTGCTGAACCCAACGATACTCCAGAACATATAATAGCTTTTTTCGTTTTCCTGTTATTACCGATTCTGAACCGTCCTAGAACTCTGCAGCGCATGCACAAATGAAATAATGTCTTCATATTTCCTTCTGCGCATACGCATCACAGTTCTAGGACGGTTCAGAATCGGCAATAACAGGAAAACGAAAAAAGCTAATGTTTGCCTGTCCAAGATGGGAACAGGAAATATGTGAGGCGCGCATGGCGGTTGGTAGGAACATCTGCGCAGACACCTTCTTAAAATCTGTAACAGACAGAAGGGAAAACTTTGAAGCCATCTCAAAACTGGACCAGAATATATTAGCGGCAAAATACAGCGAAGAGCAGAGGTAATTAAAGAAAAAAAAAACAGTCCGGCGTCTACTTGAGGATATGCGTTCAGCGGGTAGCGGGTTCAGGTAGACGTGACAGGAGTGAGGGATTTTTAGTGGGTAGTGTGTCCTCCAGTCAGCAAGGAGAGATTGAGTCCCACACTCCGTACATAAAAGTATTTTACACCTGCCAAAATTAATAATTTAAGAGTTATCAACAGAAAAATTATTTTTTTATTTGGGACACCCTCTATATTTTTAATTAAATGAAAATAATTTAAAATTACTGTGTGTAAATATTTGATATTTTGTTATAATCCCCTTCGAAATACAGAATTTTTAAAAGTTCGCCACTTTTAACTAGTAGGCTTTGGACCCCTTATTGATAATAAGCCCTTAATGGAACTCGAAAACATATTTTTCCAGCAAGACGACGCACCGCCTCTGAACGCTGAAGTTATTAGCAAATTTTTGCAGCCAATTTCAAGAATAATTGGATAGCTAACCAAGATCCCAGCCGTTGGCCGCCGAGGCTGCCTGACTTAGTGCCCATGGATCTAATCCTATGGATATATTGGCGGAAAAATAAAGGTTCCTTATTGTTCCGTATAATCTAGACAAGAATTAAAAATACTTAGCAGTTATGAGAGGGTATCTTTCACCCCCACCGAGTTAATGAATTTCGCGAGAAATATTTAAAAACTGCGGTATGTCGAACGAGAAGACGGTCGATATGTCGAACACCCGTAGCAAAATCTCATGCCTTGGTTTGCTATTTATTTTTATTGTTATTAGATATAATTTAAATGTGTTGATGTTGGTTAAATACATTTTAAATTGTTATAAAATTCTGCATCTCTCATAGCAAATATTATTTTCGTTTTAATTGATGCTCACAGCTAGAATTTTTTTGCATTACAGCCGGTGCCGTTCAAAGCCTACTTATTTAAAGCCGGCGAATTTTTATATACTCTATATCTCGAAGAGGAATCGAGCAAAATATCAAGTGTGTTATATTTTTGGAAAGGTAATTTTAAATTATTTTCAATAAATTACAAATATACAGGGTGTCCTATATAAAAAATCAAATTTTCTGTTGATAATTCTTAAATTATTAATTTTAAAAAAATTATACTTAAACCATTAAATTCTACGTAAAAAGGTGCATTGGAAAAGTTTTCATAAAAATACAAAATTTTCCATAGCAAAAAAGTTACAGCGATTTGTTAAAAATGCATATTTTTGAAAAACACCCCGTAACTCCGAAACGGTAACATATATCGATATGCGGTTTTCACCATCATGTTTTTGACAAAAATTGAGCTCAGATACCGATATTAGTTTTTGTCTATCTCCTATAGAAAAGGGTGTTTCCATTTGAAAGCGTCGAATTTGACCCACCCTGTACTTCGTTTCATATTAACTCTTACTAATTAGTTATTTTCTTAAAGTGCATATCATATTTGTATTATTTTTGTACTTCCAGCAAAAGAATATTTCTATCCATTTTATTAAGCTTATTGTAGGTTTCAGGACAAGAAACATATACAGAACAAGAAAAAGGTGTACTTTTGCATACTTCCAAAATAAATGGAATTGATTACGTACCCTTTATGAGTATAGATTTAAATGAAAGGTATTAATAATAATATACTTCTTTTATAAAGTATATTAATATCTAAAAATTATATTTTAGATTCCAGTACTTAATACCTTTTTCCGATAAAAATGGGTATTTACAATTATCACCGAAACAAAAACGTGATTTTTATAAGTTTTTGCGTCTAGACGAATTAACTGCAGAACCATGTATTGTCCACGGAAGCTGTCCTTCATACCTAAACATTAAGCAAACTGTTATATCCGATTGCTCGTTTGTTGCAAGTCTTGCTGTGAGCGCTCATTATGAAGCAAAATTTGGGAAGAAGTTGGTTACTGCGATCATTTATCCCCAAACAAAAAATAAAAAACCGCTATATAATCCTTTTGGTAAGTATATGAAATGTAGTAAAATGAAAATACCGTATTGTTACGGATTCCGTGGGTCCACTAAATTAAACTGACGATAAAATACTTAACGAATTTATTTTTCTCACTCTATACACACAATTTATACTGATTACAATACACAATTTATGTAGCTACTATTACTCTAACTTTTCTGGCACCTTGGCCCAACTGGCGAGCGCGGGCTTTATATACTCTACTGACTGTTTCTCGAACCTTCTAAAATTCTCGGAGAGCGTTCTACCTCCTACTAGTAAATTTTATTGCTGCCTGATTCGCTTTTGTACGTAGCTAAGAGATGGCGCCTTAACAAAAATGTCTTTTACTTTCTGGTGAATTCGCCAGGTTTCTCAATACACGTTGCGGTTTAGTTTCTCGCTTCTCCGACAGATGGCGCCAAATACACCTTAACAGTATGATCTAATAAAAACGGCTTCAGCGATGGCTATGAAATGAAGATCGCTGTCATTTTATATGTAAAATTAAATGGGGAATGTCATTGATGTTCATTTCCAGGCCAACTGGACGCCGTTTTTTTTTCGATCATACTGGTACCATACAATCGAAAAAAAAAACGGCGTCAAAGACGGCTGGGGTATGAAAGTCGATGATAATATTAGTGAGTTCAAGCCCTAGACGTAATTTATTTTGCCCGTACTGTTCTTTATTTTTTAATGGCACTTACTGCCAGTTGGCCTTAAGCAGGTTTGTAATTTATTTTTATATTGTGTAAAAATATTTTTAATTGAAATACATCTGTGTGTCTGCAAACGTACTATTCTTTCTATAATTAGTGTTAATTTTTGATAAGTTTTATGTAATTTATTTTAAATGACGTTTACGAATTGTCATTCCTCAGCCGTCTTTGATATCATTTTTTTATCATACAGTATATCTACGATAGCCGTAAAAAAAAGTCAAATACTGTATTAGGAACTTTTAGTATCATATCAATTTTTATATTAAAGTGAAGTAAAAGTAAGTTTTTATACTGTATTAAAACAATCCAGGCTCATTCAACAAAGTTGAAGAGGTAATAATTTGACCAACTGTATAACAAGAAATGAAAGGAACCTACATTGTGTTAAAAATATTTTTATTGTGACTTGTGATTACCTCTATGGTGATTACCTCGGATGCGCCCGGCAGAAGCAATATTTTCGGAAATTTGAGGAGAATAGGTTATGTAAATGAAACGCAAAGTTTGTAAATAGCCCTATTTATTTTATTTAATGAAATGAAAGGACTGCCGTACTCTGCCTGGAATTCAGAAATAAAAGAGCACGGCAGAGGAAACTATTCCAAAGGATCACTATTCCAAAGAATCCAACTATGCTGTTCTGAACTTTAATAAAAGAGAAATAATAATAATAGAAAAACTGTCCTCATGACTTCAACTGTTTAAAATTTGCAAAATAAAATAGTTGGGAAATTGAACAGACCTGAGCTGGGAAATTGAACAGGTCGGCACCCCTCTCCATAGAAGTTCTACGCCTCTGTGTATATACTCAATAATCGAATACGTATTATTTTATTGAAATCTGTTCCATGTACAGGGTGGGTCAACGATAAAGTCCATTATTTTTTTTTGTTCGAGGTATACAAAAAAATGTTAAATATAAAATATAAAAGTTATGGGGAAGGTTAAGATATAACATATGTTTTTTTTTAAATGCAACACCCTTTTTTATTTTATTATTAGATTATACGTAAAACTCCATAATTTTTTTATATATAATGTTATATACCTAAAATTAACAGTTTTTTTAATATTTTAATTTGTTTAAACTAATGTTAGATTTCAGTGTGGTAAAAAATTGTCATCGATGAAAAATAGGGTATTGCATTTAAAAAAAACATTACTTATATCCGCCACGCTTTTTTGAAGCACTCTGTGTACTGTGTAGTAATTTTAAAATGTGTATCTTAACCTTTTCAATAATTTTTATATTTATTCTTTTTTGTAAACCTCCAAACAAATGAGATACTGGATTTGACTCTATCGTTGACTCACCCTGTACAGGCAGACTATGTGACCTTTATTATATGTATTGATTATTGGTATTACTTTGAAGAGGTGTAATTTTACTTATTTTTCTAATAATTTTCTTAAATAATATGCTGGAGTTAATAAAAATTTGATCAAAGTTAGTTAAAAAAAAAACAATAAAAGTTGGATTTTCCCATTTTTCTTTTTTGCATTTGTTTTCTGTAAACTTTCTTTTAAACGCCAAAATTTAACACTGTTTCAGTGTATTTTCGGTATTTTTACTACGCTATAATAACACTGTTTCAGTGTATTTTCGGTATTTTTGATTTTTTGAATTTTTGAATTTTTTTTACAGGAAAATATATGATAAAACTTCATATAAATGGGATACCACGAAAAGTTATAATAGACGATTATCTTCCAGTTGATAGACATGGACGACCGCTCTGTTCTTATTCGAGCAATAAAAACGAGTTTTGGGTGTCCTTACTAGAGAAAGCATACATGAAAGTTATGGGCGGTTATGATTTTCCAGGAAGTAATAGTGTAAGTTTTTTAAGAAACGTGCTCTTCGTTTAGTTGGAAATTGTTTTCAAGATATTTGCATTTAAAGGATACGATGCATCGATTTAAGTATTAGCGAAATGATAAAATATAAAGAAATTATTAATAAATTAAATCTTATGATTTCGCTAATACTAAAATCGATGCATCGCATCGTATCATTTACAGTGCGTCTGTCCGTTCTGTAGCTACGGGGTATCCGTGAGAGGGGAAACGATATTCTCTCGATGTTTTTCGTAAAAAATAGACAACGCGTCCCATCAATAAAAATTCGACAAATTTGCAAGTAGCCAATAAAATGAGTGGCCGGAGCGATTTGCGGTGACGCACTCGTCAAGTCGACGTATAAAATATATTGTTGTTTATTTAAATGTTTTTTGTCCGCATTCCTTTCATAGACACAGATCCAGCAGACGTACTGTAAACGCAAATATTTTGAAAACCGTTCACCATTTCCAACTGAGGCTCAGAGCACCTTTTTGACGTAAAAAAGTTCTAGCTTTTTATGTTATTTGTTGAAATTACTGTATCTATAAGGATAAAAGAAGTAGGTACCGCCAATAGTACTTTCGACCCTAATGGAAAGTACCCGTTCAGGGCTGTTACGAAATTTTACACTATCGCCATTCGCGTTGGCATTAAAATGTGTGTAAGAGTACCAAATTTCAAGTAAAAAGGTTTACCAGTGGTCTTAAAAATAAACAAAATATATTATTTTTATTTATCCTTTCGAGGACTGTAACTTCCTCGGGAAGCATTTTAGGACTTGGAACTTTTTCTTTTATTTTTATCTGTAGAATCATCCACCGAAGTGAGATACACTATTTTTTTGACACCCTGTATAATATAAAATAATATACCGGGTGTGTCTCAAAAGTGGGTCACCCCCTATAACTTTTTTATTTTTTCAGATAAAACAACGAGAGTTGGTATGTTAGTATATGACATAAATTGGGATTGATTGACGTATTCAATTGTTTTCGGTCACTTCCGGTTTCACCGGAAATGACTACAACTTTTGATTTTTAAATGGCACCCTCAGTATTTTTTTACTTTATTCGAGAGAAAATGACACTCTGAATCCAATGACATATCATATGTCAATTTTTGACATAGTCACTCAAAAACAAATTCTATTTTAAAATTCAATCTAGAGTGCCATGGCTGTGTTAAAAACACTAATTTTTAATCAAGGAACCTTGGAAAAATAGATTTGATCGTCTAATGTTTTTAGTGTCTTGTCCTGGCCAGTTAAAAGATGCCCAAATCGCATTTTTAATAATATCTCAATTTTTCCAAATGTAACGAGGGTGGCTCATTAGCATATTTGGAAAAAGCATTTTTTTACGAATAATTTGATACCACACACTTGGGATTTTTAGTCAAATTGTCGTTATGAACCGCATGTTACAATTTCAAATAAACCATATGCTAAAATGTCAAAAGTTGACATATGACATGTCATTTGATTCAGAGTGTCATTTTCTATATTTTCTATGGAATAAAGTAGAAAAATACCAAGGGTGTCATTTAAAAATCAAAAGTTGTAGTCATTTCCGTTGAAACCGGAAGTGGCCGAAAACAATTGAATACGTCAATCAATCCCAATGTATGTCATATACTAACATATCAAATATTGTTGTTTTATCTGAAAAAATAAAAAAGTTATAGGGGGTGAGCCACTTTTGAGACGCACCCGGTATATACAGGGTGGCGCACCTCATTCGCCTCTGTTGATTATACGAAAACGGAAAGATGTAGAAACACAATATTTTATGGGTATATGTAGGAAGGCAATGTGCATAATTTAAAATTATTTTGAAATGTACAGGATGTGTCAGAACTAAGATCCATACCAAAGTTCTATTTTTTCTTATGGAACACCCTGTATTTTATTTGATTTTTGGATTCTTGGGCATAAAATAAGGCATTTATTATATGGCTTTAATATGTCTATATGCTTTGGTTTTTGAGATATTTAAATATGCATGCTATAATAAAAAAGTTTGTCAACACCCTGTAAATTACTTTTCAGAGTTAATTCTTGTGCTGACTTTGAAGCCAGTGAAATAAACTTTACTAAAAAAAGTATTGCTTTTTTAAATGTATACAGGGGTATCAAAAATTGCTGGTCTATTTTAAATATTTATTTTACATAAAAACTTTGTTATTTTAATTACAACACTATGTATTTTTTTGAACAAGTCCAAGCAGATTTAAATGCTCTTTCAAACGATATTAGGGTTTCCTATACCTATCTGGCTCAGATTTTAAATAAAAAGCGATTTTTCAATAAAATGGCAATCAAGATGGCTGGTGTCGCCGTGGCAATTTGCTAGTGACAGTTAGTAGCTATTTTCAAAATCGGCATTAGTTTATGGACTTTATTTAACGGTTTACTTTTATTTAATTTACCTAATAGTTTAAATAAGTAAGTATTATTTTACCAAGAAAAATAAAGAAGTAGCTCTTTGATTTATATTACGATGACTTGTAGATATATTGGATTTTCTATAAAAGAGCTAATTAAGGCAAATTTATTTTCTTCACTTCCAATAACAGGTTTCTGCCTAATAGGTTTTTCATATACCACACTATCAGCTCTGCGAAATAGGAAAAGTAGTTTTTCGAAGGAAGAAAATTCCTATTTGGATATTTGCCTATTTGGATATCTTTGAGCATAAACCCTTCAGTCCAACAAGCAATTGTCCTCACAAAATAAAATCACTAGTAGCATATTCATTCCTTCCGCCAGCAGATATTGCTTTATTTTTCTTGATAAAATGATGAATACTTACTTATTAACCTTATTGTAGGTAAATTAAATAAAAATAAGCTATTATAAATTTAAATAAAGTCCACAAACTAATGTCGATTTTGAAAATAGCTACTAAGTGTCACTAGAAAATTGCCATGGCAACACCAGCCATCTTGATTACAATTTTATTGAAAGATCGCTTTTTATTTCAAATCTGAGCCAGATAGGTATAGGAAACCCTAATATAGTTTGAAAGAGCATTTAAATCTGCTTCGACTTATTCAAAAAAATACATAGTGTTGTATTTAAAATAAGGAAGTTTTTATGTAAAATAAATATTTAAAATAGACCAACAATTTTTAATACCCCTGTATACATTTAAGAAAGCAATAATTTTTTTTAGTAATCTTTATTTCACTGGCTTCAAAGTCAGCACAAGAATTAACTCTGAAAAGTAATGTACAGGGTGTTGACAAACATTTTTATTATAGCATGCATATTTAAATATCTTTAAATATCTCCAAAACTAAAGCTTTTAAACATATTAAACCCTTATAATAAATTCCTTATTTTATGTGCAAGAATCCAAAAATGAAATAAAATAACGGGTGTTCCATAAGAAAAAATATAACTTTGGTATGGATCTTAGTGCTGACACACCCTGTACATTTCAAAATAATTTTAAATTATGCACATTACCTCTCTACATATACCCATAAAATATTTTGTTTCTACATCTTTCCATTTTCGTAAAATCAACCGAGGCGAATGAGGTGCGCCACCCTGTATATTATTTTTATTTACCCTTTCGAGGACATAACGTCCTCGGGAAGCATTTTAGGGCATATATCTATAGGACCTTTTTCTTTTATTTTTATCTGTAGAATCAACCATTGAAGTGAGATACACTATTTTTTTGACACCCTGTATAATATAAAAATAAAATTAAAAGTAAAGCTTTTTGTGTAGTGTGCAAGTCGTTGCCTTTCAAAATTAATTGAAAGAAGTTTCTTTTTGTACTCGTACTCCTGTTTTGTGACACAATTTTATGAAAACAATTTTTAAATTATCGGATCTTCGTCCCGCCCTTAACAGATTGGTCCGAACTGTATTCCGGATACTTCGGCAGCATATTCTAGTATGTCCTAAAATGTTTAGTTTCGGAAATTCAGGGTGTAAAAAATTGATTTTTATTTCGAATTTTTCCAAATAATTTTTGAAGTAACGTCAATATTTAAATGAAAATTGGTGTCTGGAAGTTTTTTGAGATGAGAAATTTGATTTTGATGTCAATATGACTCCTATTTGTAGGAGGCGCCACCTACATGTGCTTTAACTGTTTTGAAGAGCAATAACTTTTCGTCCGGAGCTGTATAAAATTACTGAGTGAAAAATATACATTTTCGAGATTTTTTACGTAAAGAATGTCTCTTGTTAAAAATCACTACGAGCAACTGTTGTTCTCAAGATATTTACAATGGAAATAGTCAATACATGTCATTATTGACAAAAAATAAACATGTTGAGTAGATAGTTACTTGACTGAAATGATAAATTTAGAAACTTTTTATTTTTTTAAATTAATTATAAATTTTTTTGCGAAAAAATTGTGATAAAACAGTTTCTGTTGAACTTTTGGCACAAAAACATTTTACATTTATGATTTCAATCTAGTATCTACTTAGTCAACATATTTAATTTGTCAGTGACGACAGGTATTGATAATATCGATTCCAAATATCTAGAGAACAATTACTCGTAGTGATTTTTACCAAGAGACCTTTTTTACGTAGAAAACGTCGCAAATGTATATCTTTTTACTCAGTAGTTTTATACAGATACGGACGAAAAGTTATTACTCTTCAAAACAGTTAAAGCACATGTAGGTGGCGCCTTCTGCAAATAGGAGTCATATTGATATCAAAATCAAATATCTCATGTCAAAAATCTCCTAGACACCAATTTTCATTCAAATATTGACGTTACTTCAGAAATTATTTGGAAAAAATCGAAATAAAAATGAAACATCTACACCCTGTATCTTCGAAACTAAGCATTTTAGGACATACATTTTACGAACTTTTTTACTTATTTTTATCTGCAGAATATGCTGCCGAAGTTTCCCGAATATAGTTCGGACCACCCTGTATACCGGGTGCGTCTCGAAAGTGGTTCACCCCTAACTTTTTGATTTTTTGAGATAAAAAAACGAGATGTGGTATGTTAGTATATGACATAAATTAGGATTGATTGACGTATTCAATTGTTTTTGGTCACTTCCTGTTTCACGGGAAATGACTTTGACTTTTTAAATGGCACCCTCGGTGTATTTCTACTTTATTTGATAGAAAATGACACCCTGAGTAGAATGATATATTATTTTTGATATATCACTTTTGACATCATTTTTGCTTAAAACAAAATCGTATTAATTAAATTTCAATTAAATTAAATTTCAATCTAGACTACTATGTTAAAAATATTACTTTTTAATCAAGAAGCCTTGGAAAAATAGATCTGATCATCTAATGTTTTTGTGTCTTGTTCTGGGCGGCTAAAAGATGCCCAAATCATATTTTTAATTGTATCTCAATTTTTTCAAATGGAAGAAGGGTTTAGAACAACAACATTAGCATATCAAGTTGTCGTTATGAACCGCATGTTACAATTTCAAATAAACCATATGCGAAAATGTCAAAAGTTGACATATGATATGTCATTCTATTCAGAGTGTCATTTTCTATTAAAAATATAGAAATATACTGAGGATGCCGTTTAAAAATCAAAAGCTGTAGTCATTTCCGGTGAAACAGGAAGTGACCAAAAACAACTGAATACGTCAATTAATCCTAATTTATGTCATATACTAACATACCAAATCTCGTTTTTTTATCTGAAAAAATAAAAAAGTTATAGGGGTGAGCCCCTTTTGAGATGCACCTGGTATATAGGTATATGTTTTTTCCAGAACATTGATCTTCATGCCCTTACAGGATGGATACCCGAAAGGGTTGGTATTCGTCTTCAAGAAGCCGATTTTAATAAAGAATCATTATTTAATACTTTAGAATCCAGAATGAGTAAGGGTGACGTGCTACTAACCGTAGCAACAGGTGAACTTTCCGATTTAGAAGCTGAAAGAAGTGGCTTAGTTGCCTCGCATGCATATGCTGTAATGGATGTTAGAACCGTAAATGGAGTATGTCAATTCTAAACATCTGATTCGATTATTAATACTTCTTGGTTCGATTTTAGGTAAAGCTTCTAAAATTAAAGAATCCCTGGTCACATTTAAGATGGCGCGGAAATTATTCAGAACTCGATGTTCAACATTGGACTCAAGAGTTACAGAGTTTATTAGACTATGATCCACATAGCGCTGCACAGTTTGATAATGGTGTATTTTGGATTGATTACGATAGTTTACTTCGCTTTTTTGAAGTATTTTACATGAATTGGAATCCAGAACTATTTAAATACACGTACTGTATACACCAGTAAGTAATAATATAAAACTTATAGGCTTGGTGCATTCTACGCCGCCGCCGGTGTTGCCACCATCGGATTATAGCGACTAAACAAATACACTGATTTAAATGGCGAGTACACGAAAAATTTGTTATAACCTTGAAAAGTATTAGCAAGTACAGTTTGTGAACATTCCAAAAAAGAAATTAAAAATGTAAATCTTTTGATATCTATAAGGTCTAACGTGTATTATTATTTATTAATGAAGCTAATAACACCTTTTAGACTAATAATAACATGCTGGCTGCTTCAACTACGGTAGCGATCATAGTTTTGTGCATCGGTTTTGTTAGTTGGGACATAAATAGGGTACATAATAGGGTATCATGTGCTGCATTAATTAGACGTTTGTACGTCGGCGTTGTCCAGCCAAGTTTTTGACAGAATTATTCTTCGGATGGGGCTCCTTGAGCCCCATCTTTTCCTGATATTTTGACAACGTTTCGTGCACTCTGAAACCCCATCATCAATGGCGAAAAAATCGTCCGAATTAATGGGTCTTTGGTGGGTCGTAACTCGGCTCCTATGTGAATTAGAGGGCTGAAACTCGGAATGTAAATAGGACTCGAAGAGCACCATCTTTCCATGATATTTTGACGAGGTTTCGTGCACTACAAAACCCTATCATCAATGAATCAATTAAAAAAATCGTCTGATTTAATTTTTGTTTTCATTTATTTATGACCTTTAATTAGTACTGGCACCAAGGCCTAAGAAAATAATACATTTAGTAACAGTAATGTTGTTAACAGCTGTTAACAACAGTAATACCAAAATTATTAAAATCATTCAAAAATTTAAAAAAATAAAATAAACATTAAGTTTCACATAGTTATTCCCTGTCTCTTAAATATTCTTTAAGGTTATGATAAATTTTCTTTGGTCTTCCTTTTAACATTGCTGATGGGATTGTGTTGTAAGTCAGCACGCTTCTATATATGGGAGAGTCCTGTCCTTTTTTGTCCTGGCATAGTTGTTTCTGAATGTCTCTTTGGTTCTTACATTATAAGCATGGGTGTGTTTGCTTTGACTATACTGACTTGAGTACAGTATTACTTTTAATATGTTTGTTCTGTATATCGTACACAAGTTTAGCTTGTTCAAGTAATTTTATTTTCTTGACGTTTAAATGTGAATAATTCTTATAAAGATCTTCACTTGGAGTATAAAAATCAAGATAATGTATTTGTTTTACAGCTTTGTTCTGAATTCTTTGTAGTTAATTTAACAAATAGTCACTTGTGTTTCTCCAACAAGGGTTTAGATAGCGAAGATGTGGCTCTCTGAAACTGTTATAGATCAAATATCTAACTTTTGTACTTAGCTACAGAGTTTATTAGAGATGAGCATCTTCCAATTGCTCCAATCATAGGTGCTATCTTACTTATTATGTTATTGATATGGGCATTGCAGCACAAATTGTTTTCTATTACTAGCTCTAAATATTTGTATTCATTGACTTCCTTGAGCACAATATTATTTAAGATAATAATTGGTTTAAAAGAAATTTGGTATGTTGATAGATTGGACCAAGGCCAACTTGCCCGTGTAGTTGCACTGTGACAGTTAGTTTTGACGTAAGAAACGTCAAAAGTGTCGTCCGATCGCGACTAAAAGGTTTGTTCTCACAGCTGCAAGAAACATATTTCTAACAGATAATCATGCGCAATAGGGTAAAACGCGTTCGCACAGAAATTTTTGATTGGTTTCCAACCAACAGTACGCTGTTCGCACAAAAAATTCTGATTGTTAGCTTACAGTCAGACCTGTTCGCGGATCTTTGGCAAGTAAGTGTCCGGCGCATGCGTATTGCGACCCGACGTCATTAATTGGTAAACATAACCTACAAAACATGTGTTGTTTTTGTTTAGTGTTGTTTTCTTCAAAAAACAAAGAAAAGAAATGAGCGATTTTGAATCTTCCGAAGAATCTAGGCATCCGAGTTTTCGGATACAGACACAGACCTAGAAGAGCTGATGGGGAAACGGGTCAGGCTCAAGAATCAAAATTACAAAACATTAAAAAGAACGAAACCAAAAAATGTCTTTGGTTAATTCCCTGTTCGTTTTCTTCTTTATTTGGTATTACGTAGGAGTTAAAATTAGTGGTATTATTAGATCAAAAAATAAGAGTAGGGGATTCGCTGTTCGCACAGACAGTTTGAAATCGACAAGAAACTGCATTATTTGAGACCTGCGCATTAACACCGGTTTGGAAGAAGTCACAAACATGTTGGGAACATATTGGGAACACGCTGTGAGAACAAACCTTAAATTTGGTGTGAGTGACGGTGTACACGTTCATATCCTGCAAAGCTGGATACGACGTTTCGTTTACATCTTCATCAGGGTGGTACTAACGATTTGATATTGAAGAAAAATGTGGATTGATTTCGGCATAATTGGGAACGGGCTACAGGATGACGCCCTCGACGTTTCGAACCGATGCCTCTAATTATGGGTCGATTGGAACCAAACTCGGCACGTGTATAGAGGTACCCGAATGGAGTCCACAGACGGACAGACAGACAGAGAGACAGACGGAAGTAACATTAACAGCGGATCTCCTGGGCTCATTCATAAAATATCCAGAGGCGTGCGCTGTTTTATGAAAGTATATTAGGAGATTATGTTTTCCAGTAAACTATACAGGGTGTTTCCTAAGTAGTCTAAAAAAATTAGGGTGGGATTCATCATATTTTTTAAGACAAAAAGTTTATATAAACATGAGGTCTAAAGTAATTCCTTTCTGGTCAGTGGGGTGGTAAAAATTAGAAAAAATCGATTTCTTGCTTAAAATAAATGACACGTCACTGCTTTTTTCAAAAAAAAAAAAATCTTTATTGTCAATACTTTCTTAACAAAATTGATCTCTTGATTTTTTCTTGTACATCTAACGGTTTTCGAGAACGAAAATTCAACTACACTGCATATCAGAGCAGTCTGTCTAGTGAATGAAATTGTGTGAAATTGGTTTGTCATTTAATTTTTCATTCAAATTAGTGTGGGTTTGGTTTGATTTTATTGATTTTATGTGATTTTATTGGTCCATTTCAAAAAAATGATAGTTCATATTTAAATCTCCTAACATGATTTAGTGATGGGCAAAACTGTTATTTTTAGATAACAGTTGAAACTGTTATAGTTATTTATAAAAAACAGCTTAAAATAACAGCTTAAAAATAACAGGTTTCTTTATTTTACTGCTAAATACCTGAAAGAGTATGAGGCGGTCACCGCCAGGCGTATTAACGCAGTTGCAAGTTGCAACAATGACGTGCTCCGTGGTAGTATTTCCAGGGTGTCAAAACATTTCTAAATATCGATTGTTATCTAAAATACCTCTCTAAAAACGGTGGTTGTTTACAAATAAGCGCTGTTTACAAATTGCGATATAAAAAAAGCCAAAATTCTGCCAATCGTCTATACCTATACATTCCGATCTGCCTACGCCCTGCCCCTCGATCCGGGTAGATCCTGAATTGCATAGCAGTGTACAGGGTGCATCTCACTCGACGGGCGAGAAGTTCTTAGTTATGATTTTACCATTTGCGGTCAAAAAATAGCAATATAAGAAAATGTGTAGTATATTCTTCATAAGTAAACCAACTACACACTAGAGTTCGAATTAATTTTACACTTAAACTAGCGTGTACTCGCGACTTCGTTCGCGTCGAATTAATAATTTCTAATGGTGATGATAAAGCAAAACAAGAATTTCCATTAACATAAAAACTGGATAAAATTTTCTCACATTTTCCAAAAATAAGCTTTCTAACGTCGAGCAGCTTAAGCAGAATCGTGGTTAATCAATTACTCAACTTTTTGGAACACCGTGTATGATTTTTTAAAAAAATTCAAAATATGTAAAAAAAAACAAAATAAATTATGCGTGTCCAGGCGTTTTCCCGAAAAACTAACCGTTTTTTAAATAACAAATATTGTAATATTTGAGTGGCGTTTTCACCCTGTTGGAATTTGAGATTCGAGAAACCCCTCCTTATCGAACCTAAACCCCACAGTCAATCCGTTTGCAAAAAATCAGCTTTAAACGTCAAGCAGAATAGTGATTACTCAATGGTCATATTTTATGAAACACCCTGTATATATTTTTAAAAAATCTTAAAATATGTAAATCAACATAATAAAATATACGTGTTTTAAGAGTTTTTCCGAAAAACTCGCCGGTTTTTAAATAAAAAATATTCTAATATTTGAGAGTAGTTTCACCCCCTTAGAATTCGAGTTTCGAAAAATCCCTTCTTATCGAACCTCTACACACTAAAGTCAATCCGTTTTCCAAAAATCAGCTTTTTACGTCAAGGGCTTTAAGCAGGATCGTGATTAATCAATGACCAGATTTTTCAAAACACCCTGTATACATTTTTAAAAAATCTTAAAATATTATTCTGAAAATTTTTCAGAATAAATAAATACCTAAATATTGAAACTTAATAAGTAAGTACTGAAACATACAGCGCCATAATATCCCGACCTCCGTCCGTTATGCTCGTAACAGGTTGAAACAGAATGTATCTAAAACAACTGATGCGTTATTCCCCAACCTGTTTCAAACCTCCATCGACAATCGACCGATGCAGCAGCGTTCCTTTCCCACTCCTGTTATCTCGAGCGCCAGGCGTTATGCCCGCAACTGTTTCAAAAAACCTGCTTCTTTTATATCCTATTATTTTTAAGCTGTCGTAAACCCAATACGACCATCGACGGTTTCGACCGAAGCAGCTACGTTCGCCGTAGCGCTTTCCCCACTCCGTTGTCCGTTGTCTCGCCGCCTGTATCGATGGTTGACGAAATAACATGTTTTCCATTTTCCATCCATACTAGTTGTTTTTTGGAATTGCTTGGAGCAGCATAGAATTTCGTGGTGGTGCAGAGCGCCGACTTCGTTTTTCGTTTTCACGAGCGGCCGATCTCTACGTGTCGTTATTTTATACCTGTTATTTTTTTGAAGTAGTAACGGTTGCGTTATGTTATGTATAAATAATTGTTATAAAAGAACAGATAGTTAAATAACAACCCATCACTAATATGATTGGAGTGACGAAACAACGGACGACGCATTACGGATGTATATAAACTCAGCTTTAGTTTTATCAAAATACATATAGGCTTGGTGCATTTCAGTTGATTTCAACAAATTCCGACCGCAGCGCACTCTGCGGCAGAAATCAGAAAATATCAACATACAGTTCACGCCGCCGTCATGTCGATCGCATTACAATATTGAAATCGGGGTTTTGTCATAATATTTAAGTATTTTAGTTTTTTGCTAGTGCAGTTATTGATACTATAAGACACTCAGGTCCGAGGTTTGTGTGATAAACATGTTTCGGGTAGTAAAAAATAAGAGAAAAAGAATTCGAACTAAGCGTCTTCTTGTGTTGTGACAATTTTAAATGTTAATAAAATTGCCCACAAAAATGTTAACGCGTAAAGGAGAGCGTAATTAGGGCGTTGTTGGGTTTAATAACATTCAATAACTCAACTTTCCCGGATATTCAACTCTCCCGAAACAACATTTTATAGCTTCATAATTTCTTACACCGATTTGAACAATAGCAAAAATGGATTCAAGCAGTTCGACGAAACAAGTGAGTAAACAAAGTGTTAGTTACATAATCAAAAAATTAAATAGACATATACTATGAGAGGGTGAAATACAATTTGCAATATTAATGGTATACGTTTTTAATCAACTAGTGATTAAATGTTTTATGAACATCTTCTAAAATTATAATTATGTACCTTTAAAAAATTTCGTTATAGACGAAATAGCTCCAATTATGCCCCACTAGTAAAACCGGTGATAAAACTATGCTCGCTACCGTAGTTGAACTCATCAACATTTTTTTTAACTGGAATAATAAATTATAATACAAGTTAGACCTTCGGAAGATATCAAAAGATTTACCTCTTTTTATTTTTTTGTTTAGAATTCCCACAAATTACACTTTCTAACACTTTTAGAATAATTATATACTAATTTTTTTGTTTACTCGCCATTTAAACCCGTGTATTTGTATGTGTTCGTTATTTACGATATTCCCGGGGGGTGGCAGCACCGGCGGAGAATGCACCAAGCCTATACACTAGCCACATTAACAATCCAAAGTACAATGAATGAATATATGTATAATAATAAGATTGCATATTTGACAGTTGGTGATTTATTTTAAGGATGTGGCCTGCTGGTACTGGACCGGTTAAAGACTTATATACTGTTGGTTTAAATCCGCAATTTTCTTTAAATGTGACTGCAGGTGTTACTGGAACTGTGTGGATTTTATTAACACGACATATTACAGATATAAACGATTTCAGACACAATAAGGAATTTATTACGTTATTTGTCTACAAGAATGGTAAAAAAGTATACTATCCCTGTAAGTTTTTTTTGTTAATAATTAAGACATAAATATCCTATAACTCAGGCAATTATTTTTAAGATGATCCTCCCCCGTTCATAGACGGAGTTAAAATAAACAGTCCACATTATTTATGTAAGATAATACTGAATCCTGAAAGCAGCACAAATTACACCATAGTAGTATCACAATATGAGAAGAGTACAACGATTTATTATACACTGCGAGCTTACGCCTCATGTCCATTTACATTAACTGCGATTAAAGATCCATATACAGCTGATAAAGAGGTTTGTATACGGTAATCTTAAAACATTTTCTGATGCCGCCATCAATCATGTCGAAATTGACACTAAAGCCTATAAACCTGACTAAATGAAATCTTGTCAAAAATGTTTAAATTTGTTGTAAAAACCGAGCAGCTCTTCATTTTACTTTATAGAGCAAATGATTGTAACAGATATTTTATTTAGATTAAAGCTGCAAAATTAGGCGATTTTTATTATCGCCATGTTGGTCACATTGCGCCGCGATCATCAACGTTGTCGTTTATTATTTGACAATTATCATAATGTCAGTCATTATTTTGTATAATATCTTGTTGTTGAATCTTTGCGAGTAATTCTCGTTTTTTTCCAATTTTTATAGACTTTTTTGTACAAGACAAGAAGTTTTTAAGAACAAGACATTAATTGTCTTTAAGAACTAAATTTTCGAGTTTTTGTATTGTATTTCTTGAAATCGTGTGTTGAAAATATGTCGAAGCATTTAAACAGTCCAAGCAAAGAGCTTGTAGCTTTCCTGGTAAACTATTTTGGACGAGAATATGTCAATAAAAATGTCCTTTATTACTCTTGACTGCAGTCAGAGAAGTAAGTTTGATTGGTAAGCATATTATACCACTTTCAAAGTTATTTCTACTTATTTTTGATTGGTAGCTAGTAGCTGCTGCCTTAAATTAAAATATTTCTACTGTGAGTGATTAACTACTCTTAATAAATAAATTAATTACTAAAATATTAATTATTAAATTAAAAATAAAACGTAAAAATCTTTAAAAAATGATATAATAAATATAGGTTGTACTTAAACTGCCGTTAAACGGTAGCTTACTAAAATGCCGTTAATAGGTATGACGTCGTTGATGTGACGCACTTGACGGCTTTATGAAATATAGAAATTCTATAAGGACTAACCAACGCTATCCACCCCACCAAATAACCAACTTAACCAACGCAACTAACCTCGACACTGATAAAAAATTTAAAAGACAAATATAAATTAGTAAAAACCAACCAACCCCACCACATAACCAACTAACCAATGAATTAACACCCTCCAAATAACCACGCTAACCAACCCGCCAAATAACTAAACCAATCCAACCAAAAAGAGTAAAACCAATGCAATAAGATCACATATAAGCAAAAAAAAAATATAAAAAAGTCTTGGTCAGCGTGAGATTTGAACCCCGGACCATTCGCTCACGAACTGATAGCCTCAGCCACGGAGCCACAGGTGCTCTTGCAATATGCTTATGGCTAGGCATTACTTTCCGCCGACATGAACGACGTCACAATATCTATTAACGGCATTTTAGTAGGCTACCGTTTAACGGCTGTTTAAGTACATCGATAAATATAGTTTCCCAATTCTACATTAAGAATCATCGCTTGTCACTAAAAATTGATCACGTGTATCGGAAATTGTTTTGCGATTACTTTGGATGTATTGTTTTAATGATCTCTCTATTTGTGGTCTGTATTTTAACGCGCAATGACAAAGATAAACGTAGATGACTTCTGTTTTAACCTGTTGATAGACAGAGACAAAAAGGGAAAAATAGGAAACATTAGTCACTTTCAAAAGCAAATTACTCCTTTATTTTAAATGGAACACCCAGTATATTATTCCGGTGTTCAATGGGGAATTCATATATCTTTAAAATAGTATTAAGGTTGTCTACCCCTCAGGCAAAGGTTTTTCTAGATATTTTAATTTTATGATTTTGCGTCAGTAGATCTTTTTTATTAAAAAAAATATGGTGGCTGTGATACCGCTATGTTATTGTTAGTTTAACAAAAATTAAAGGATGTAGAGTAGAATATTCAACGGTAATAAAAAGATACAGTTTTAAAACATATTTTAATTATTACAGAATTAAAACTAGATATAAAGATATCATTGTGCGACAAAAATTAGCTAGATGAAATTAAATGCTCAAAATGATATTCCTTTCTTGTTCACTGCATAAAATGATTCTCTTTTCAAATGATCTTTTTATTTTAAAATCATATGTGGATTTCTACTTTTAAAAGGAGCTACAATCATTTCTCTCGAGAATAGGTGGATAAAAAAGCCCGGACTAGATAAAATCGGGAGCATTTAAGTATTCTATTAATTGATGAATGCACATTGCATTCACCAACTAATAGAATCATATCATTTCTCTCTGATGTAGGATAAGTTTCCATTTTCGGCAAATTTCTGAGAACTTTTTTTGTTTTAACTGACAAAATAATAACTAGTTGTTAAAGTTGGACTAATTAGACAGCTATGATCTACTGACACGAAATCATATGAAAATGAAAATATCTAGAAAAATCTTTATTTGAGGTGTAGGCAACTTTAATAGTATTTTGAAGTGACATGAATTCCCCCTTGAATATCGAAATAATATACTTGGTGTTCCATAAAATAAAATAGTAACTTCCTTTTAAAAGTGACCAATGTACTATTATGGGTATCTCGGAATCTACTGGAGCTAGAGAGACGGTTAAATGGAGAAAGAATTGCAGTTTTGTGAGGACAAACATATGCGCCTTTCGGAATTTTGAAAAAGTTTATGTGTTACTAGATATTTCGAAAAAAACAAATTTCGGCTATTTTAAAAATGCTCCTTAATTTCATTATAATCTATTTTAGACAAAAAGTTTTCAGATAAAAGTTGTAGATAATCACAACCTTAATGAGATTGTGTTCTCCGTTTTTTTCCAAAGGCTCTTTGTCATTTTTGACATATGATACAAAATTACAGTTGAGGGTTGGAACCTTTGGTGTTACAGAGCAAAATAAAACACTAAATCACCACAATACACCAAAACACTTTTACTTTTACACGGGACGCGCGTTTCGCTAACCATGTTAGCATCATCAGCAGATGATTATAAACTAAAGTACAATCTGCAAGTTGAGCGTTTATATACTCGCTCAGTAGGCACCGAGTAGTTTGGTGTGGCAAAATCTAGCCAACCGAGTCCACTGAGCGTAACAGTTAGATCTCCGCCACTAGAGTAGTAGGAACAAAGAACTTGAAGGAATTGGACCGTTGTCTCTGTTCATACTATCTTTACATTTATTAATTCTGATGCTTTCATATGCATCTAATTGCCTGTAATATAATGGAAAATAAATTTCTTGCAGTTTTTAGGTATATAATAAAATTATATAAGAGTTTCTTGCCTTGAACTGCTAATATAGAAATTAATTCCACGCTGTGTTCGACATAATGTGGATCAACCTGCTCTCACTACCGGTTTCGGGGCCCTACTCCATCATCAGGTGAGCTTGGGTCGTTTCCACAATATGTCGAGCACAGCGCAGAGTATATAAACACGACTTGTCGTAAAGTAGCGGTAAGATATTAAGTCCCGCATCGCGAGATAGCGGCCTGCGTGCAATGGTAGTACTTTCGTACCACCGAGGCACAACTATCGATAGTAAATAAAGGCTTTTTTCGGCTAGCCCAAATTATATAATGGAAAATAAATTTCTTGCAGTTTTTAGGTACCTATATAATAAAATTATATAAGAGTTTCTTGCCTTGAACTGCTAATATAGATATTAATTCCACGCTGTGTTCGACATAATGTGGATCAACCTGCTCTCACTACCGGTTTCGGGGCCCTACCCCATCATCAGGTGAGCTTGGGTCGTTTCCACAATACGACCGAGACTTGTTTAATTAATTTTAAATTATTAAGATCTATACAATGTTCTTTATCAACAATATGTTCGGCAACGCAAGATTTATCCGGTCTACCATATCTTATCTGAGCTAAATGTTCTTTAAATCTAGTTAATATTGATATTCTAGTATGCCCAACATATTTCTGATTACAATCTTTACAAGAAATTTCATAAATACCCGACCTTTCCAGTGGAGGTGTTTTATCCTTTGGATTACCTAATAATTGTTGTAATTATTGTAATTTATTATTAGCATCGGTGCCTACTGAGCGAGTATATAAACGCTCAACTTGTAGATTGTACTTTAGTTTATAATCATCTGCTGATGATGGTAACATGGTTAGCGAAACGCGCGTCGAGTGTAAAAGTAAAAGTGTTTTGGTGTATTGTGGTGATTTAGTGTTTTATTTTGATATGATACAAACATAGGTTTTTTTAAATGGAAACTATAGTCCATGCTGTGACTTCATAAAAAGCACCATTTTTTAAGGTTTTCAGCGATATACTATAATATGTTTTTTTCGAAAAATTACTGAGTTATAGCCAATTCTTATAATTTTTAAACAATTTCACTTAGTTAGCCATGGAAACAAGTTCAATAGTTGCTCTCATAGATGAGAACTGTTACATCGAAACTTTGTAAATAAAAATAAACACAAATTGTAAATATGAATTTAACAAATGAAGAAAAGCGGGTAGAATTATTAGTTCAACTTTTCTTGGCCATACATTTTCGAGGATACGTTGACCGGTGAACTATTTAGAGAACGGTTTTCAAGACAATATGTTAGAAAAGTCTAGAGACTCGCGCATCAATAGAGTGGTTCCAATATGACTTTCATTCTGACACTTTCTCTCATAATGAAAGAAATGTTAAAATTTATTGATATCATAATTGTACAAACTCAGGGATAGGAAGAGATGGACTAATTGCATGGGTCTCTTCGATCACCTGACCTATCTATTTTAGACTTTTTCTTTGAAGTTTGGTTAACAACAAGGTTTACAAAAGAACTTATGAGTTAAGAGAGGCACTCGAAGAGAGGGTACGGGAGAAGTTTAATAAAGTCGACCTGCCGTTCTGTGAAAAAAACTTGTAATTCAGTTTTAATGAGATGCATTTTATGTACTCAAAATAATGGCGGATTTTTGAATAACTTAAAGTGTATGTAGTGATATTAGTTTTTTTAAGTTTTAATTTGTGTAATGTAAATCTTAAAGAACCGTTTAATAAAATATTCTGTCTTTATAAATTATAATCATAATAGAATAAGAATACCATACCAACTAAGCGAAATTAGTCAAGAAAGATAAGAATTGGCTATAACTCAGTAATTTATAGAAAAAACATATGATAGCTTATATCGCTGGAAAGCTTTAAAAATAACGCTCTTTATGAAGTCATAGCCAACTATGGTTTCCATTTATAAAAACATGTTTGTGTCATATGTCAAAAATGACATATGACTTTAGAAAAAAACGGAGAACACAACCTCTTTAAGGATGTGATTATCTACAACTTTAATTTGAAAACTTTTTGTCTAAAATAGATTAAAATGGAATTAGGGCGCATTTTTAAAACAGCCGAAATTTGTTTTTTTCGAAATATCTAGTAAGCCATAAACTTTTTCATAGATCTGAAAGGCGCATATTTATGATCCCACAAAACCTCAATTCTTTCCCCAATCCACTCTCTATCTGCATTACTTTCCGAGATACCCATATAGAACACGTAGAAAACTCGCCCTGTATATTGTACTAATCTTCAGTGATGTTATAAAAATAGGTGACAGGGGAATGGAAAGGAACTTCAGCAGGTGGCTGTCCAAATCATCCTGGAACATATCCGAATAATCCGAGATTTAGGCTTGAAGTGGAAGGTGATATGAACCAAATATTATTAGAACTTAAAGGACCAAAACAATATCAAATTGGTCTGGAAGTCATAATAAAACAGTTACGCGATAGTACTGTAACAGCTCCTTTTAGATCCAAGTTATCCGGATCATATAGGTATTATTATTATTTACGTTTTTTAGTTATTTTTTAAGGTAAATTTTGTTTTTTTGTAGATCGGGATATGTAGTTTTGGAATTAACAAATATTCCGGCTGGTCTATTGGAAATTATACCATCAACATTCCTTCCAAATCAAGAAGGACCTTTTATTTTAAGCGTTAAATCATCTACCCCACTTAAATTATATAGGCCTTAAACCATCATTTTCAACAGTAGTTTTATTGCACTACTTGGACGCCTTAAAATTGAATAGTTTTATATTTATGTGTTCCATCACATCTTTTATTAATAGTTTATTGATTTATTTATAAACGTTTTTATGTATAATTATATTTTTTATTACAATGATATAATTAATAAAATTATTGTAATATATTTGTTCAATATTGTTAATATATTGTTAATATTCTATTTATTGTGGTGTTATTTAGGAGAAAAAGTAAAGTAAAGATTTCAAGTTAACGTCTCCTTTTTGCTAATCTGGACGGTGCTTGTTTACGCGGATTCCGACCCGCGGTCCTCAGCCATATCATGGTCAATGGCCTACCGACTTGGGAAGTGTCTATATCGACTCTTACTCACGAGATATCCGATCTCATTCGGCCTCGAACCGGCGCCGCACGGTGGGGTATTAGCATGAAAAAGGTGATCGAAATTCGAAAAAGCAAATGTGTTTAAGATTTCCCAAAAAAAGATAAATGATAGGTTAAATCATGTCTGCAATGAATGGCGTTGCTATGGGTGTGTTTAGTTGCATTCATTTGTTTCAACGAAACGTCAAAGTTGTTACTTCTCACAGATAAGAGGAAAATGGCTAAATTTTATGTCTAAAATTATAAATTGTTTTTGTTCTTGTGCTCTTTTTACGTTTATATTATTGTTTTGATTGAAAATGGATCAGCAAGCTGCAGGTATGTATTCTACAAAAACGTATTATTAATTTTGATATTCTCTATACTAACGATTTTTTTTGCAACTAAAAGTTGGGCGTTCAGAAAATTTGATTAAGTTTGTGACATTTTTATTATACTTAGAGATTTAGTTGCGCATTTCGAAGAATTCAGCATATTGTCTATATACGTTTTACTTAGTAAACATTGGGCTTTCATACAGTAAAATAAAATACTGCGACTTTTTGCGACTTTGCTGATAAAATGAGAAAAACATTCTTGGTTTCCTCTAATTTGCCAATCAGTGATATACTAAAGCGAGGTGTAAACCACGATGGAATTGTTGTGTACAAAGCGATCGCATTAGTGCCATTAGCAGTATAACACAATTTGGCATTAGTAGCGACTTTAGTGGTATGGGCATTGCTCGCGGATCAGTCGTAGCATTAGTAGTATTAGTTGCGATATTACTACTGGTATTAGTGGCATTGTCCGTGGAAACACTGGAACAGTGATTTTTCTTTCTTTTTTAGAATCGACGAATTATCCTTTATTTTGTTCATATTATTTCCTCTAATTGAAATTAACAATAATTTATATAAGGTCTACATAAAAAAATTTCGATCAACTATCTGTGTCAAATACCCCACTGTGCGCCGGCGTGAATGAGCAGTGTGTGTCAATAGATTTTATACTTTTGCCTTTTTTGGACAACAGCACGATACAGAGTTTCGAACCGGTCACCCGTCCATCCACTAGTATCGCCTTACGTCGTTTAACTTCGGTATTCTAATGAGAACCGGTGTTTCGACGTAGCTAGGCCGTTGCCCTATTTAGGAGTACGTGTTTAATCTCTTTTATTTTTTACATACCACATATAAGTTTAAAGTGATTATAATCATATTATGTGTGTTACAATTTTGGTATTATCCAAGTAAAAAATTGTTTGATCATATGTTTGAGAAGCTTTATCTGTAGAGATGTATTTCATTCTATGTGTGCTTTAAAATACATTTGGTCAGCAGCAGTAACCTCTTTTTGTCGCAGACCATTTTAAGATTTTACTGGTTTCGATGGACTTCCTGCTGTTTCATTTTTACCATATTCCCAAAACTCGTCAAAAAATGTGAAGATTAGATCTAGCGATGGAAATTTGCGGCGTTGCTCGGAGTGAACCTCTGGGGGTCTGGACCACTTAGGAATCACTGGTCTAGAGAAATACTCTCCGAAAATGCAGTCCTTTAAAAAAGATTTTTTGAATTAGAAATAATTTGATTTTTTATTAGTGGGAGGAGGCGGAAAAAAAGGTTTATTAGAACCTTTTTTTTAGAATTTATTTTCCTTAACCCGGCCCTGGCTGTCTACTACCGCTCCGCTCCAAGACCTACTTTAAAGCAGTCTCATTGAGCATTACATCTTTGAGAAGTTTTGGAAGGAATTTTCTTCCGCTGTGGTCTCTTGGTTCGGTATGATCTCTCTGACGATTTTTCTCTTTTTATTTTAAGCTTTATCAGTTGCTCGGAGTCTTCAAGCTCCAAGACAGTGATGCCAACTCCTGGGAAATTTCCTTGTTGTTAGTATATGACATAAATTAGGATTGATTGAAGTATTCCATTGTTTTTGGTCACTTTCTGTTTTACCAGAAATGACTACAACTTTTGATTTTTAAATGGCATCCTCGGTATATTTTTACTTTATTCGACAGAAAATAACGCTCTGAACAGTATGACATATCATATGTCAACTTTTGACATTTTCAATAAAAAAAATCGGATTTTAAATTTCAATCTAGAGTGCCATGGCTGTGTTAAAAACACTAATTTTTAATCAAGGAGCTCTTTCGGACAAATATATTTGATCGTCTAATGTCTTTCGTCTCTTGCCCCGGCCGGTTAAAAGATGTCGAAATCGTATTTTTAATCATATCTCAATTTTTGCAATTGAAACAAGGATGGCTCAATACCGCATGTTACAATTTCAAATAAACCATATGCGAAAATGTCAAAAGTTGACATATGATATGTCATTCTATTCAGAATATCATTTTTTGTCAAATAAAGTATAAAAATGCCTAGAGTACTATTTAAAAATCGAAAGTCGTAGTTATTTTCGGCGAAATTGGAAGTGACCGAATATAATTAAAAAGGTCAATCAGTCCTGATTTATATCCTATACCTTTGCCTATACTAATACACCAAATCTAGTTTTTATCTGAAAAAATAAAAAAACTTATAGGGGTGAGCCTGTGAGCCACTTTTGGATAAACACCTGGTATAAGTTCTTAGCAGTTCTTACCTGATCTGGGAAAGAGAGCATTCAAACAGTAAACAAAATCTATACATTTTTTGACGTTGAATAGCTTGTGATCTATAAAGACCTATCCTGCGAATCAGCAATTTTTGATAAAAACTACTAATGATTTAAAGTATTAATGTTTAATGAAAAAATTATTAATGTTTTATAATGGCGCGTTTTCCCGACTCGTGTACTTGGAAACTATTTTTTGTTGGCATACAGGGTCTGGCGGGAATGCGGCGCAGTTCCTATTGTTACGTTTTTCGTCGGTTCCGTGTGGATAGAAAGTCACAATTTATTTAAACACTATTTATTTAACACTAATTAACAAAAACAATAACGATAAAAGACTTAAAGAACTATTTACAAACGATTTATAACTAAGAACTTATTTTTTGAATTTTAGCGCGTCAACTGTACTCGTCTATTTATAACTGCCCTCTTTAGGCCACAGCCGCCGGCTTTTATACCTACAGCTAAAGATTTCTAGAATAGTCCATAGATCGTTAGGTGCATAGAGAAGGTTTCGATTGTTCTCGTATGTACTACTCCATTGCAGTGGAACTCGATTTTTCTCGAAAGTCCGAATGAATCATTACGGTGTCTATTCTTTAATGCGATGTGCAGGTCATCTGAGGGCGGGACATAAAGTTAGGTTAGGTCGAGTCCACACGGGTCCGCAACACTATAATAAATAACTCAGAAATTATGTATAAATGCCCGAGGTACCATGTATACCCTGTATACCAATTACAAATGTTTGTCAAGTACACGAGTCGTGAGAATGCGCCTTTATATACTGGAATATTTTTTCTATTCCGATAAAAAAATGGCAATATATAATTGCTCAATATCGTAACGAGTAGAAAATATGTATAGAAATTTAGTTATGTTATATTTATTTAAGATTTATGAAACTTTCTTCCCACCCAAGTTCTACTTCTGTAGTTATTATATTTAAACATTTTAATTTAATTATTAATTTCCATATTCTGTAGTGAGTAAGGGCAGAATTATTTAAATTTTGAGATGAAGATGAAACTTTCAGCGCCCAAATTATTATCATTTAGAAAAGTAAATTCCAGTGTTTAAGATTTTAGTAAATTTTCGATATTCCCACAATACAAATTACCACGGAAAAGGCAACTAGATATTTTTTATAAATTAGTCTAGCCTAGCAGACTGATCTAGAGGAAAGAATTGGAACGATGTCTATCATCTTTTAAATATCGAGTTTGAGTTTCGAAATGACATAAAAATTGTAACACCCAGTAAATGTAAATATATTTTATTAATACTTTGGGAAGCAGTTGGTATAAATATGAATAATAATCGATGATATTTTGAAATAAATTTAATGGAAGGAATTCTTAACAATTCAACAGTGAGATGCACCTCTACGTAAGTTTTGACATTCTGTAATTCTTGTGGCATGCTGCTAATCAGATTATTCTCCTATGGGAGGTTCTCCAAGGCTAATATTACCTCGTGACGTAGACTGTGTGAATTCAGTATAAGATGTACTAACTGACTTCTACCTATTAGATCGTAGACAAGTACAATAGACGATAAGTCTGGTGACCTTGCGGGCCATGGTAGAAGGGTTACTTTAGCTTGTCGGAGGAAGTTTCTAGTGCAGGAAAATTAGATTGGACGGTAGCTACTAAAGGTAGGGCAGCACGACAGGATGTAAAACGTTATTACAATCTGGCACCCTAAACCATAATGTCCCTAGTAAGCGCAGTAGTCCCTTTCTTCATGTAAAAATTAAGTTGCCGCCTTTCTCCATGTCTGCGGCGGACTTGTATACCGTGAACCTTTAAAAAAAGTGACTCGTCACTGAAATAACCCGAATGAGTGCGAGTGTGCCCGTTCTAGACACTATGCTAGACGTAGTTGTTTATGTCTATTGGTTAATGGCATAACAATCGCGGACGGCATGACTGTAGCCCATAAGTTCTAATTCTTAGATAAAAATATCTCATAGATATGTGTTAACCCGTAGGTACCCTCCACTCATGTCCGATTACGCTGCTTGTGGTGAGGCGCTCTCTAAAGGCACAAAGTCTTAGGGGCCTTTCTTCCTGATCACTGATTATTCTTAAAGCCCCAGTGCTCCTACGATGTGTATGGCGACGATGTTCAGGGTGTCCCATTTTAGTTGAAA